GGGGGGGGGGGGGGGGGGGGAATGGGGAGGTTTCCGGTTCGATGCGGCACCAGACAGAGATAGGGTAAGTTGAAGGAAGTTCGACGGGTTCGGTTGACGTCACTAGACCCAATGGGGGAAAATGATCCTTCAGGTTCAGATACACTGAATATGAATGAGACCAGTGACACACTGGCTGTGAATGAGACTAGTGATGAAGAGATGGGGCTCGTCCCCGAAGAGGTCGAAGCATCGTCGGCATCGACCTGGCGAGGTCTTGAAAGCCCCGGCATCTTTATCCTCACGTGTAAGTTTTTTTTCCTCCGAAAGTAAGTTTCTTATCCATCTCTGCTAATATTTTCCTCATCTCTAGTAAGTTTTCTCTTTCTGTGCTTCCATCTTCGTCACTGTTCTTAGAAGATGGGGTTTTATGACCGAGAAGGATTTCTTTTACGATCTCTGGCGTGACACTTGCTGGCGAACAGGGTGGTTTCCACAATAAAAGCCCTGGGATGTCACGAAGCTCTGCCGAGTCCGCACGCAAGAGAGATCTCACCAGGGGAGGGGGAGTGGGGGAAATAGTTGACTCGAGGCTAATATGGATTCCTTCCTTCCCCTGCTCCTGTCCTGGAAAGAAGCTTGTGCTTTCAGAACTGTGGGGCCGTTCTTTTTCTCTGACCTAAAATGGGGCAGGAGTAGGGTTTTCTGATTGAAGATGCTATTGCTAAAAAAAATTTTAAATGCAGCATTAAGCAGTTGTGTTGTATTGATGGCATTTGAAGAAGTTCATAATAGTGCGTTGCAAGATCGTGTAAGGTCACAATGTTTCACTGGATGGCAACGCCATAGCTCCGCCATTGCTATCGAGACTGATAGTCATGACTTCCTCTAGGAAGGCCAGGCCTCGGTCCAACTCGAAAACTTTTCCATTTTTGTTTCCCGTGAGGTCTTCTCGGCAGAGCTTCATGGCTTAGCAATTTAGCAACGATGCAATATTCCATTGGGATGAACGACATTGCATTTCATAGCCTGACGAGTTCTCGTACAAGTACCTGCGATTGATTTTCGATCATTACTTCAGGTAATTCAGTATCTTGTCGTAGAAACCTTTTTTTTTTTCCAGGCGTGCAATGAGTGCACTTTTGTGAAAAATCTGGTCAGGGGAAGTGAAAAACTTTGCTTGCCACGAGTTTAATTCAGTTTTCGATTTGAAATTTAAAAAAATTGGTGAAATACGTGGAGGGATGAGACTGAATGATAGGTGACCTTCGAAAGTCGAGAAAGTCAACGTGCATGTTGTCATGATTTTGCAGATCCCCCACGGATCTTGGAAGGCCCCGAGGACCAGACGGTGCTGGACGGCGAGATAGCCGTGTTTCGATGCAGGGCGGACGGGAACCCCAAGCCCCAGGTGACATGGAGACGGGGCAGTCACCGCCTGACGTCGGGGCACCCGGGGAGGTACGTCATCACCGCCCTCCCCGACGGTGGCAGCATCCTTCGCGTGGACCCTGTCCGGCAAAATAAGGACGAGTCGGACTACGAATGCGTGGCGGAGAATGGCGTGGCTGATCCCGTCGTCGCCGATGCCACCCTCACCGTCTTCACAGGTCAGCCTCAGTTCATTCCCTGTTGATGATTCAATTAGACGTCTCTGGAGGGGACATGGAGGAACGATCAGTCGCCATGTTGGAATGTAGACGTTACTATAGGAGGCCATGCCTGTCAATTGCCGTAAAGTCGTTTTTTCTTCAGTTCATGCTTCACTCGCCGTGAGTTGTGGTTGCTACTGTTGCAGCTGAGTCACTCCGTGATGCGACTTTTCAAGAGGTCATGAGAAAACCCTCTCCCAGTAGTGTTAGGTGACACGTTTTACTCTTCGAAACACCATATGAGCAGATTAAGATTGAGAAGAGGGAAGTGAGCAGTGTTTCTCCCCATTTATCACCGCAAATCGTCCGATCAAATGGATTTTTTCCCACCCTCCGATTCCGTGATTCGCCTCAATCGTCCGGAAGCGTCATCAACGTGGTGTTATACCTGAAAGCAGGTATCGATGAGAGGCCCGCATTGTTCATAAAGCCTCGCATCGCGACGCCGAGTGGCCATGGTTGCGTGCGTTTCCTCAGTCGGCTGAGGTAGCTTCAGAAGGGCGTCAGAAGGGATGGGAAAGCGCCAGGGCCCGTTCGTGGACTCGGACAGACAACTCGAGATCTCTCCGGGTCAAGATGGGATCGCTTGCCGCGCCCATTCATTCCCGGTCCGACTCTCCATCTCTCCAGGCGCATTGAAAAACATGCCTCGCCGTTTAAGTCCGGAAATGGAAGCTGTCACTTTGTGATGTATGAATTGTATTTCACGTAATAGTTGTTCGCAACTATCAGGTACTACTTAGGTTTTTCACTCAAACACTATCCGATCTAGGCCGAAGTTTGTGTCTGGGAGCTATGCTGTAAGCCTGCCGGTTTGCTTAGTCAGACGGAGCGTTCGGAAATTGTCGTCTGGATTGTGACGTCGTGGGGAAAAGGTTGGCTTCGAAAAGGAACGCAACTATTCTAGAGTATTGGCAGCGAGTATGTCTGAGCCTTTAAGCTATGCTTGAGATGAGATGTATGTCGCGTGTGCGTGGGTCTGCTTAATTTGTGTTCTATTTCTAGCGCGCGATCAAGTGAGCCGATGCTGCGAAGCTGGAAAGAATTCGGAATGGAGGCTTGATGGTAATTCGAATTCAGGAATGTAAAAATATGAAGTCTCGCTGGGGAAATGCCACACTAGGGAAACAGTTAAATGCTGTTCAAACGTCAACTGTTTGAATTGCCCGTGAGGTGCGTGCAAAACCGAATAAGAATCGTAAGGTTCCGCAGGAGGACTAGATAGCATTGAAGGACGCAGGGCGGGGTAATAGACTATTTTTAGTTCTCGCTCTAGTGCAATCTGTGGAATTTTCCAGTGGAAGCCCTATTCAATATTTCAGTGCTTCGACAGGAAGGAGGTAAAAAAAGGAGGGAAAGTGGAGTATTGCCGGTAGTTGGGCGTGGGATGAGAAGCCTGATGGTTGGGCTTGCCCGCTGGCGTGTATCGCTCGCCGGCCGAGGGGAGAAGTAGGCTGTCTATATTGCGCTCTCTCCCCCTTCCGATCTTGGGATGTGTGACCTCTGAGGGTGGGGGAAGAAGAATAGACGGGGGTGATGGGTTTAGGGTTCGATTTATCATAAGGGGACTCGTGAGTGATCTCTCGTCCCATCAACAAGTGAAGCTATTTCTCCCTCTCCCTCACGCTTTCCTCTCCCGGGACGAGGAAGAAAAATTCGAGGGGGGGAATAAAGAAGCAGGGAGTGTCATTCGTTTTGTAGCCTCGAGTCACCATGCTCAAGTGAAGCGTGAAATGGAGCCTAGGCAGAAAACACGAAAACGCACCTTACTTTCGTTCCATCTCTGACCAGCTCCGGTATGAATCAGCGGAAGAAGGAAGGAGAGAGGAGGTTAAGGGGGGGATATGCTCATTCTGGGCCATTATCGTCAGGCCTGTTCGATATATGTGCCATTTCCGCCCTCCCATGCTTGCCTCATGCCACACCGGACACGGATGACGGGTTACTTGTCATCAGGTGGGGAAGGGAGTTCATTTCTGACGATTCCTGCACCCTCATCATCATGAGAGTATTGGACAGAGAAAAAAAGGGAGAGAATGGAGATAGACTAGAGAGAGGGAGTAAAGGGAGAATGGGGGAGAAGATGGAGATAGAATAAGACGGATATTGGATTAAAGGGGATTAGATGGAGGGGATCAAGCCAGGGAAGGATTAGAAACAAGATCGTTTGAGAGAGAAACGCCTCCCACTTTCTTCTCCCTTTCCCTTGAAAGCAAATGAAAAAGAAAAAAAAAATTGATTGTCGGATTAAGAGCCCGAGGAGACTAAGTTTTCCAGTCTCTTTACCCTTTCAAAGTGGTTTCACCTTCTCAGCGGTCTTGAAGATAAATGGCTCCCCGTGATTCTGTCCCCCGTGCATGCTGTCTTCCAGATTGAACTTTGAACTGCAGATTGTATACTTATCTTATACTTGATCCTTCTCGTGGCGTAAAAAAAAGTGGTATCATTGGTATCGCTTGGATACGGGCTGACATCAAGTCAAACGAGACTTGTCGAAATTTCAATGGGGAATGTCATTGGAAAGTCGACACCTCTGAGCGTCAGTTTCCCTTGATTTCCATTATGCATGAAGTACTCAGGCAGCCATGAATATCATTTCGTCTCCTGCCTAGCAAAAGAAAAATTAGAAGATGCAAATTACTTGGGAAATATAGAAGGCTCCTCTTGACAGTACTCTTTCTAAATTTCGCTGTTGAGTGCCCAGTTCTACTGAATGTTATTGATGAGCCCCTTACCCACTGCCAGAAATGGCGACATTCCAGAATTGCGATGACAAGTCTGTTTTTGGCACGAGCATTGCACCGAAAGGCAATCTCACCCTATATCTCCCCCACATATATGTCTATATACCGATTTTTACTGCTTTCGGGGCAAAATTTTTGCTTTGATTCGGACGCGGACTGGCAGGACTGGGCAAGGAGTGGTCTCTTTTTTGGTTTTACTATTATTTTAATAGAAAGGGTGAGGCGAAGAACAGGGGAAGGTGAGAACGGAATTCAGAAACAGGTCGATACGAGGAAAAATTCAAAAGGAAACCGGAGAATCATAGGCAGTGATTTGGTCCTCGATTCGGGGCTTTGGGGACCGAATTGCAGGGCGGAGGTAGAACGGGGACGCATTGCGATGGGGGATGAAGTTGGAGGCATCGGAGCGAGACCAAACTAGACAGGAGAAACTCGAGAACTTGTAGATGAGATGAGAGGAGGGTGGACATTGGAGATGGAAAGGAGGAAAGGGTATTCTCCCAATGGGGTTTCGGGCCCGAATCCGATTCTCTTGAGGGGCTGGGAGGGAGGAACACAGGACGGGACACATGTTCCGCTTTCCACGGGATTTAACTCCTCATCCCGATTGGGTAGATTCGTATAGAAGCAGCCTTGTCGTGCTGGTGTTAAGGGTATCGGCCAGACAGATCCCATCCTTTCGCGTCGATGAAAGCGCGGAATGTTTTCTTTCTCTCTTTCTCTTCGGGCATGAGATTGCGAGGATGGAGAAGACCAGTAATGGATCTGCTGTTTCCTGTACGACTTTATCGTGACTCAGTTTCTAGTTCACCCTATTTCCGTCATGTCCTCGGATGTCATGGGTCTTCATAAGGGGAGGAAATGATCCCCGACTTCTGACGAATCTACTAAACGGAGTTGAGAGGGACCAGGGAATTAGAAAGAAGAGGCCAGGTAAATAGCCCCGCCTTCCTTTAGAATGTTCGAAATGGGGAAAATTGATCAGAACGCGGGTAAAGGCTGCAATTTTCATCAGAGAAATTGGTTCTCACATTCACGGGAACTTTGCAATCATGGTTGACCATAAATACGGGATTGGGAGTTCCCAAATGTAGAGGGAAGCCGAACATAAAGGATTCATCTTCAGTGATTCACTGTAACCGAACACGCGGAAAGCGGTTCGATAAATTGACTATTTCTCCGTCTCATTCTGATTTCGTGTAATTAGCGGAAAAGCATGCTTGATTCCATTCTGTATGCCATCACTTAATTAACGATCTATTTATTATTATTATTTTATCCTGTTGTTCCTGTGGAAATCTGCTAAAAAGAGGACAGTAAGGGTATGGTGGAGGATCTTTCCATTCTTTGGTCGCCAGCTATTATTGATGGAGGAATGCTTTTAGGCTAATGTCATTCTCCAGAGCGACTATATTTTGGAATGATCTCAACCTCGACCTTGAATGCTTTTGGACATCAAAGCAGGAAGTGGGCGGGGGATTGTTTCTGGGGTAATCTGAGTCTGAGGGTAAATCTGCAGTTTCATCGTGCCTGAGGACCGCTGCGTCGTGCCTGAGGGCAGCTGTATCGTGCCTGAGAGCCTCCATCAACGTTATTGCCTCTCCTGTCTCGAACGGTCTGAACCACACTGTTCCGCGGCACAGATGTGCCAGACAGGAGTTCCCGATCTGGCCCATGGAGAAACTTCTCTGAAAGATAGCAGTGGATAGGGGATGAGTCTCATCCATTCGAGCCCGTTTGACGAGAGGGATTAGATACCTCATCCACATTTCCCCGCATATCAAAGAGAATAATGGTGTCACGGAGTGGGGCTGCTTCTGTCTCAAGTTTCTTTTCTCTATGCTGTTTAGAAGTCGTGTTGCTCTGGGGATATCGGCTCTGACGTTTGCACCTTGGACTGCAGGTTCGTGGCTCTCATGCGCGGAGTGCTGGAGGCGCTCGAGTTCTTTCACTCTCCCCATAGGAGAAGATTGGGGCGTCGATAATTCGAATCAAGGTTATCGGAACACCTGGGAATCAGTGGAAGGCATGCGGCCGTCTGGGAGAGGTCCAATGGAAATAGGACGAGGGCGGCTAGGATTTGATTTCCTAGTCTTGGCTGTACTGTCTTGTCTTGTGATGTTGACGTTGGTCATTGCATTTGAGATACACAGCGGAGATTCCCATGAGGGAATGAATGAGGGCATCGTATTCACTGCGCCTAATTCGAAGGGCAATCGAAAGTTCCCGGACTTTTTCCTCTACTATTAGTTCCTCCTGAAGCTAACCTGATTTTCTGGTTGGGTGGTTAACCGTGACAGTACAAGTTTTTAGTGTTTATGTCTTGTATTTTCTGGCTTAAAAAAATTAGGGTAATTTTAGTTCACTTGGGGAATACTTAGACCAAAGCAGTGTGTAGTGATTGAGATTTTGGAGAAGAAGGGATAGGTCTTTTTTTAATTTTTGAAGTAACTTAAAAAAATTTTCATTTGTGGCAAGGTTTTGTCTTGCGGCAAGTGTTTGATTGGACAAGTCGTTTTGACCTGTGGTATTTAAAAATCTGGAAGATTTATCGCTGGAAGTTACTCTGATCTTACGTCTGAAACTCCATTCAGAATTGCAGTTGAATGTGCGAGATGGAAATGGGGTAAATTCTGTGTAGATATTGGCAGTCTCAGATATGTCCTTCCCAATCTTTTCCGTTGGTGTACCTAAAAGACTGATAATGAAAGGCACGAAAACAGCATGAGATGCAGTCGAGAACTTACGCAAATCATCACCACCACCACACCTAATTAGCTTACCCATAAAATTGGTTCAGATCCTGAGAGCTAATGATGGAGGGAAAATGGCTTTTCAAATGCCCCCTGTATTTTTCTGCAGCTAATCATTTTCATCTCAACGGAAAGGCCCTTTTTCCCATCTAAGGGGAAAAAAATCCATCTGCACGTTCCATCGCAATTTGCGATGGAACCTGCAGAGAATCGATGCCCTGACGCACCTGAAGCTCGTGCATGTAGTACAAACAAGCCAGTATCGTTCCTTACAATCGATGGCACAGAAAATTGCCTCCAACCTGCGTTCTCGTTATACATGTGTTAAGCCCGTTTTCAGCTATAAGTGGGTCGAAGTGGGTCATGTGAAGACCAGCATGTCCGGTAGAGATGCAATCGGGTCCAATTTCTGGAAACCGCCCTGACATCACCCGAGGCTTGAAGCGCGCGAGCCAGAATTAATCTGAAGTGCCCTTTTAGTTGGGATCGACCCAACCTGAACTCCATTGCGATATTCGTAATGAATTCGGAAAGCCGAACTTATTGGTGGACGGCACTGGCTTTTGTTTCCACTTTCGCGGGAGAAACGTCACAGCGCAGTTGTCATGTACCGAAATCCGAAAATTCTAAAAATGGCTTTGTTTCTTTGGGAACTGAACTGATCTGAGGTCGAGACGGGTCGGGGTCGGGTTTAGACTGCCATTCACAATGTGCGATACGGTTTTTTCCCGAGAGAAACACGTGCTGGTAAAGCACAGCCTCATACTGGGCGTCCCTTGTCCTTTTCCATTTTCTCGAATTTTTATTTTATTTTTAACATGAACCCAGGAAAACCTAGAAGTGATGTCGGTGGAGTGAGGATATTTCGTGGGAATCGTGGTTGGGCAAGATTATAGCTTCCATCGGACAAAATCATAGCACGAGAGCGAGGCATCTCTAGTCTGAATGATTCATTGACCCAGCTTCAAATGAATTCGTTCCCACGCCAAAGCGGGAAGAGGCCTGGGGACCAGGAACTCCGGCGAAAAACATCCAATTATACGGCGATCTTATCGAGGTTTCGCAGCATAAATGTTTCAGTGATGCTTTTCATAGGACCAGTTAGAAGTCAGGAATCAAGGGTACATACCTGCTGTCGATATTCTTTCGAAATAAAATATTAATTTCAAGTAAGTAAATGATAAATAAATCTTATCGACTGATGGGAGTGCGTTTCCCAGATTTATAGATGGCTTCATGACAAGGATGCAAATAAAGCTCTCGATGCATTGAGAATGGTCTTCTCGTTTGAGATTTTCCTGGTTGCAGCCCAAGTGGGGGATCATTGCTGGGGGTTTTTTTTTCCCGACGGAAGCAAAGCAATCGATCCGCCAATCTCGTTCATCAATGACGTCATTGTAATCTCCTGTTAAATATACAGGATGTATTACATCAGGTATCTGCAATGTTTCTCTTCGGCTTCCAGCTTCTCCAGCCCAATCTACTGGAAACGCGAAGGGTTAATGAGCATACTGTATGAAAATTGGCAAGGGAAAAGATTGCTTGGAACAAAAGGCCCTGCCAGGGAATCGACAGTGCCATGAAGTAGACCATTATTGTTGCTTGCAGAAGAGGAGGTGCCGTTGGGGTGGCCTCGAATCACGATGCACCCGCAGATGAAGGCAGTGGAGCGCGGGAGGAACGCCGTGCTGATGTGCCTGGCGGAGGGGGACCCCTCGCCGGAGATTACCTGGTTCAAGGACTCCCTCCCGGTCTCCCTCGCGGACACGAGGTACTCCATCTCGCCTCCAGGTTGGTACTTACATGCTCATCGCTGTCGTTTATAATTGAGCGGACTCGGCTCGAGTAATTGAAGGTCCTCCCGACTGTACTGTAAGGCCCAGAGATAATTGCGAGGCTGACACGTGGATAGAAGTCGGAGGAAATCCCCTGAGCCTTGGCCCAGAGTTCCCTTTCTTCTCTCAAGAATCCAAGTAGGCCTAGGACCTCCCTGATTCTGTCGTGATCGTTCAGCCCCCCCCCCCCCCTTATTTTCCCCTTTTCCTTTCCCTTGGGTATCCGTAGACTATGGAAAAATCAGAGCATCTTCAGGCTGGAACTTGTGTCAGCCTAGTTCGCGCTAAAAGTAATTCGTTCATTTTCGCTAAGGATTTTAATAGGCGCTTTGCCCATGATATCTTGTGTTACAAAGATTTAGAAGTTGCAGCCTTTTTTTTTAATTAAAAAAGAGCGAAAAGGAAAGTTTTGATTTTTAAATATAAATTTAACTGGTAACTTGAATGCGAGAACAGAAAGCATTCAATTTAAAAAATTTATACTTCCCTTTAGAGGTCCTGAAAATTAAAACTCCGCCTTTTTATTCATTCATTAAGAGAGTCCGAGACATATTCATCAACTGGGTCGCAGGTGTCCTAATCAGGGAGGAATTGCCCATGGACTGTCACGTAATATTAATATGTACATATCTCTATACAAGTTACACACCGAAACTTTGACAGCTTGCTAATAGGAATTGGTACAATACAATTTGGCTTGATATGAAAGAAAATACAAAGATAAAGTCCGACCTTAAAGGTCAGTGAAATTGAGTCCGGAAAGTGGGTAAGAAAGAGGGGAGCGAATAGGGTTTTTTAATTGGCTGCTAGGAAAATTATTTCATGCAGTTTAAAAGGAATCGAATCCGGTGTATCTTTCCCTGGACCCTGCTTTGTGCTGAACTAATTTAGTTTGAATTTGTGTGCCATTTACATAAGTTTTTCTTTAGTGAGACCAGTTTTGACCAATTTAAAGTTAATTTCTTTGGACGATTCAGATGGACAAATATCTCGAACACATTGAGCGTTCTTTATGACGCGGAGAAAAGAAAAAAAAAACTTCTTACGTCGATAAAGTGGTTCATGGCGCTGTCGAAGGGGCAGGAGCGGATGCTCCCGACTTGATGTGAGCTTTTACAGCCAGTTCCGCCGCAGATGAGATGGGTGGTCGTATTCTTGAGCATTTTGAATTAGAAGTGGTCGTTGACGATTTCGGGCACGTTTGTTTGGCCTGATGGGGAAATTCTCTTTCTGCATGAATATCCATGCCATCAGAGGAGCGCCTGAATTCATGACTGAATTCTCTCTGCTAGTAATTCCATCATTCCGTCCAATGATTCCATCAGTGCTGCATGCATGGGTGGATATAGTCATGTTTCAAGAACTTTTTCCCGTTCAACTGTAGGTGCAGGCGAATGTTATTTTTTCTTCCAAGATTTCATGGTCCAAAGAAACACTATAAAGATGTGACATTTTACCAAATTCATCTCAAGTTTTAGTTTGGGTAATTTTTCGCGCGCGTGTGTTTTTTTTAAATATTGTATTTATCCGTTTTCCATGTTAGTTTTTTTTACTTTCTTCATCTTTTCATCAATTGGGATTTTTCCAGTAATGGGTGGAATTTATGGATGGTGAATAGTAAATAATAAATTTTTACAATTATGTTTGTTTATTTTTAATCATTTTGAATGTCACCCTGTCCTTCCCCCGTCTCCAGCTGACAAGCGTATCAGGGAATGCCGGATTTCCTCGAGGAGTTAAAGGAAATATAAGGGGAAATTAGAAACTGATCCCCGTGGGTGATGCGCGCGAAGCGGTTGACATCTGGTTGGAAACAGAGAAGGCGGCTCCGAGCCCTGAGCGGGCCGCAGGTTCTTCTCCTTGATCATTGCTAGGACGCTGAGTGGATATCGTCGCGCATCAGGGTGATCGTAAAAGTCGAAGTGTTCGCAATGATTTAAGTGAAGACAAAAATAGCCTGTGCCCTCGCAATCCCACAGGTCTCTTTTCCCATCGGTTTTCAGTGCCTTTTTGTCGTCCTTTCATGTCAAGTCTTGCCGTGTGGTACTTTGTCACAGTCAATGCGTGCAGTATTTGCTCTCCCGAGCATATGTGGCGTTGACTTGTTTGCCTTCCCTTCCGAGGACATCTCGTTACATGTAAAATTCCTTCATAGCTGTCACTTCCGTTTTCGATCACCGTCGACTTGATTTTCCTGGATCTCGCTCCACATTTTTTGGCGTAACTGCTTAATTTATACTTGTCATCGAGCGGCGGATTTTGATGTCGTATGAAAAATAAACGAGGCAGGAGGGGATCGCAAATTACCTGTGCTCTACGTGACTTCCATTGGCTTCAGAATTTCGTGCGCCTGCCCCTGTGAAGCTGTTGTCAGAAGACGGCTTCGCATGAACCTTCGCTCATACCCTGCAACCAACTGAATCCTTAGGAGTTCATTCTTTAGTGGCAGCACCTGGGTTATCGGAATCTGGTGGTTTTTTTAATCAGTAGGATTCAGTTTTAAATATTTATAATCACAATGTTAAAACTTTTTTTCCCCTCCCGGGATGTGTATGGAAGCTTGGAAGCCTTCAAATCGAGGGTTGCTTAGAATTTAAGTAGTTTTATAATGCGAGCTATTTTTTTTTTAACTCTTTAGTTTAATCCAAAATCGGCTTTGGTTCTGTGCGAATAGGTCCAGGAAGGTTAATGTAAGTTATGAGGGTGAAATTTCGGCATAAATTTCTGTGTCTACATGTGGAAGTACGATCTTTAGGCTCAAATAAATACCAATAAGTAAAAAGCTGGAGGAGTCGCATACTTTTAGGTCTGTTTGACAGGTGTATATGCACTGTCCGCCATTGAAATTGCAACACCGAGAAGGGGCGAATCAATACTGGTGGGGTTCAGTACGCGAACTCATTCAAGTGTGTCATGAAATCGATTAGAGTTTCGAGGACGTTGAGTGACTCTTAACGGAGAAAATGATTCTTCGTGGGGAAAACTCGCTAGACGCTCTCGTATAAAGGGGTTGAGAGCCCTGTTAATCGCCCTATAGAAAACACCCCGGAGTTCATTAATGAAATGTGGAACAGGAACTCCTAATGGCGCGTGGAAGAATCGAGTAAAGTTTCGAAGTTCTTCGGGTGAAGCCATGAGAGGAAAACTTGCTCGGCGCCTGGGGGGGGGGGGAGAGAGGATTTTCTGATCACGCCGGTTTCGTTGTGTTGTCATTTTGCCATTATTCGAGTGCTTAACTGCGAAGCCGTGCTAACTTGGTCGGACGGTTTGATCGACGCCGGCGAACTGGGATGCTTAGTTTGCATCAGTCTCATGCATTAGGCTGATTCATGGATCCCAATTAACTGACATCGATCAAGCTCTCAAGCAAGTTGGCAAAATTGCCTTCGGAGAAATTGTCTCAGGATGGCTTCACAGTTAGACACTCGACAATGGCAAAATGACCGTCGGAGATCCGGCAATTTTCCCTCGTATAACGGGTTCCAAACATTATTTCATATTTCTAGGCACTATTAGGGGTTATTTTAAGTACTTCTAATTTTATTAAAGAATTGGCTTTTTTTCGCGCGATTAGTACGGCCCACCTCCACATTGACGAGCTTTCTTTGTGAAGAATCGTTTTCTCAGTGAAGAATCACCCTGTACTGTTGGAAACTCTATTCGATTTAATAATGCACTTCCAATTGTACATTACGGAATTTCGTAAATCTGGCCCAACTCCTGCTTGGTATTGCAATGTCTGTGACGGACAGTGGGTTTTAGTTTTCTAAGTTTTCTTATTTTCAAAAGTAATTTCTGCCTGTTTAAGGTACGAAAACCAAAAACTAGGGACTTCCAGGAAATTGAATCATTCCGCTCTCAACTAAAAATGTTAAATCTATTAATTGAGTAGCTGGCAATGCATGTTGGCTTGGAAGGAAAAAGAACTTATGGTTGTAGAATAATCAGATGGAGCAAAAAAAAAAAAACTGGGCAAATAGAAGCGGGCGCTTTTCCCCTCAATTTCATCCTTGTGGAATTGTCTGCGCTTGTCAATATATATATCATGTTTCTTCATCTTAAGTGCAAATTGTGAGCTATGGATACGGAAGGAGGACTCGAGAAACCGTAGCCTCGAAAGCATTTAAGTAATCAACTGATAAGGGAAAATCTCGGGAGTCAAGTTGCTGTTAGGGAAGGCAATTGGCCCACTCACCCGATCGTGCTGCCGCCACTCGGCCGGTTCTGAGGCTGCTCGTGCGCTCGCACCACTAGTAGGCGCATGTGATCACTTGTGGCGACAGAATCGATGAGGATGTCTTACGCTTCCAGATTCTTTTTTCAGACGTCGGAGATGAGAAAAATTAATTATTTCATCCTCTCCGCCGAATGCATTGTCTACTTGGAGCGAAATTGATATTTTCATAATAGACCAACTACTTTTAACCTAAACTATTTTCCCTCTCAGAGTTATTTTCGCGAAACTCTCACATTGCGTATATGAGTATGTTTCCGACTGATACTTCAATTTTCCCATGAAATTATTATGCCAAAGCAATCCTATCAGCAATTATTGAAAAGAAATAGACATTGGGAATGGACAAGAGCTTCTGCTGGTAGTGCCTACCCTCCTGCTCTGCCACCTCCCAGGGACGGGGTTGGAGTGTGTCCTCCACTACCAGCAGGAGTTCTTGTCCATTCTTTATTTCTCGCTCCTCAGGATTTTAGTTTCTCTTCGGTTCCCTAATTTTATCACTTTCCGAATAACTCACCGAGTAGCATCAGGGTCACTAATTAATTTTATTTGCGTTTTGGTGATCAGGGACATTGCAGATCCAGGTGAGCCGAGACGATGATGCGGGGGAGTACGAGTGCAAGGCCTCCAACAGCCACGGATCCACCTTCTCCTACCCGGCCAAGCTCTACGTGAAAGGTAGGGTGAAAACGGCAAAACTCGAACACCTTCAAGGTGGGGGTTGTGTCGAATGCACGGGAAAATTATCCTGATTTCGTATATCTACGTACCCTGTGCGGCACATCTCATTCTCTCTCTTTTTTTTTTTTTTTTACCTATGTGTAAGTTATGACAGGTAAAACCATGAACGGTTTTGGGCGACCACGCAATCCGACAGCCTCTCATTGTAGCCCAACTCACTTCTTCCGTAATATCTCGGTTGTAATATTTTAGGGCACTACATTCTTGCGTCATTGCAAGCTGCAGAAAAAGACGAAAACAACGAGATTATCTCAAGGGAGGCGAGAGGAACTTTGTCGCCTGGCCTCACAATGCCATGCCGAAACCCATTCCAGTTTCGTTGTTTTACTGGGATACCCTAAGGGAGTGTTGGAGGAGGGGAGAGTCATGTGACCGAGAAGTGGGGGGAATGAGGGTCGTGTGACCGATAAGTGGGGAGGCGGGGGAAGGGGTGGGGGAGTGAGTGATGGGTTTCCTCCGCTCCTTTTCAAATCCGTGAAGAGTGAAGCAGGGATCCATCTTCTCCCTTTCGAATGGATGATCGCGGGACAGACAGACGGACAGATCCATCAGGTGAAGAGGAAGAAGGAAATCCCTCCCAGGGGAGGAGGACGGGGGATGGGGACCTCAAAAAGCCTCACACCCTCCCCCCGTCCTCCCATTATCTGATTGCTCTCCATTGGACGTCGCTTAACGATCCCGTATTGTGGACTGGAAAACGGCTTTTATCTCCTTTTTCTTCGCTCGCGACCTCTGGAGGGTTTTGAAGGCGGGGCTCGGTGGGGGGTATTCGGACGTTTCCCGACGCGAAGGTCACGGAGGCTGCCTTTCTTCCTTCGACAAGAGTCCCTTAATTCGACCTAATTGAATTCCGTGCGTCCCGACTCGGACGGGGCACGTTCCGAATTCGCTCAGTTGCGAAAGTAATTTCTAATGCTTGTACTCGGCTGGGGGATCACTAATTCGATCAATTGACAAAGCAAGTCTCCGAGGGGAGTGTCTTTCCGACGGGTCCAGTCTCATCTCGGACTTTTTTTTTCTTTGTGGTCAATTGCTAATCATAGACCACTATGGAAACACTCGTATTTGCATTGCCAGAGCAACAATCTTCTACGCCGAAGCTGGAACCCATGAAGCGAGAGTGAGGCCCGTCCTCAAGGTCACGCGCCGATTCGGTCTTGAGCATTGACCTTGATTAAATATTTTGACTGACTAATTAAAATAACTAAATAAATTTGACTAAGGCTAAATTAGGAGAAATCAGCTAAGGAATTAGGCTTTTGGTGCTACTTCTCGGAGGCCACCGCGAACCGAAAATGTTGCATCACTTGTTTAAGGAAACGACGACCGCCGTAAAGTACGCAGGAGGAGGGAAAAAGGAGTTCTGGATGTGCTAACCGATGAATAAAATAGCATGATCGATCCTTGTTAGATCTCAACAGAGGAGATTCCTGTGACAGTTTCTCGCATCGCCCGGAGCTTTATCCACCTTAATGGATTTTCCTTCCTTTTTTTTTCGTGTCGGATCAGAGCGTCGGGTGCCCCCGATGTTCTCGTTCGAGTTCGACGCGTCCTACGAGGTGACGCCGGGGCAGGACCTGAACGTGACGTGCGTGGCCTCGGGCTCCCCCATGCCGGCCGTGGAGTGGATCCAGAAGGGGCAGTCCCTCCCGGATGAGGACTTCTCCTCCTCCCCGATCGGACGGAACATCCTCCAGCTGAAGAACATCCAGGAGTCGGCGAACTACACGTGCGTGGCTGTGAGCAAGCTGGGGAAGATCGAGAGGACGATGGCCGTGGTCGTGCAGGCGCTGCCGCTGGCCCCCGTGAACGTGAGCGCGAGCGAGGTGACGGCGTCGTCGTTGAGGCTGGACTGGGCGTATCCGACGGGGCCGGCCGCGGCCGCGGACGACAGCGACATCAAGTACTACGTGATACAGTACAAGCCGAGGGGGGCGAGGCAGGACCTGTCGGAGATCTCCGGGGTGGTGACGCGGTACTACACGGTGCGGCAGCTGAGTCCGTACACGGAGTACGAGTTCTACGTGCTGGCCGTGAATCACCTGGGACGTGGACCGGTGTCGCAGCCGGCCTTTGCGACGACGGGGGAGACCGGTGAGTGTGCCTTTTTTTGGCTTTTTTTTTGCAGTCTGTTTGTGCCGTAACTGCGAGTGCGATCTGGGAGAATGTCGCGATGAACGGCTTCCGTCGCGTAGGTGGGGATTGCAGGAGAGGGATTCCTTTGAAATTTCTCGTTCGCTTTGGGAGAGGTATCTGTGTTGCGAGTTCGAGGGTGAAAGAAATGTTTGAAAAGCCGGAGAAAACGTTTCTACACTTTCACGGAGAGTCGGAAGAGGGGGTGTGATTGCTTCCCTTTGTCGGGGGGGAAGGGGGAATAGGCGTCTTTTGTCCAACCTTTTCCTCTTTTTTTTTTTTTCTTTTCCGACTGGGAAACTCCTGATCGAATCTGATTTTTTTTTTCGAGGAATGTGGGGGCTGTTTGTGAGGAAGGGATGGATTTTGACGCATTCATCGGTCGCGTTTTCTCGGCCGATGAGCCGGATAATACGGAAATTTCCCGCTTCCTCGCAGTCCGAGAATTGCAGTCTCTTGCAGAAATTCCAGGAAAAAAACGGAAATGTAGAGGGAGGGGGGGGGGGGGGGGGGGGGGGGAAGGGGAATTGGAGTCGCTTCTGAAGAGGTGGATGATTTCCACTTTCACGCTCTCCGATCCCATCTTCTGCTTTCCATCTTTGCTTTTTTTTTTCTTTCCTTCTCTCGATCGGAATCCGAGATTTTGTGTAGATGTGCGTGAATGAACATCTCAGACCGGGGACAGATTTTCGAATCGGTCTGGAAGAAACTCGTGTCTTTGATGAGTTTCAAAATGCCGAGGTCGGACTTGAGATAATGATGTTAATTGTGAGTTTTTCTCTCTCTGATGCTGCTTCAGGAGCCGAAGGAGGCAGTGAGTTCCTTCCCGAGTCTCTCGATTGGGAAAATATATATTTATATATTTTTTCATTTCGTTTCCCGAAGTATTTGTAAACTTTTAGAAAAATTCTTATAATATATATGTATATTTTTTATTTTTGCAGAGCCGGGATCGGCCCCGCGGAACGTGAAGGCCCGGCCCCTGAGTTCGACGACGCTGGTAATCCAGTGGGAGGAGCCGGAGCAGCCGAACGGACAAGTCACGGTGAGGCTCCTTTATTGTCGTTCGCGTCCATGTATCAAATCCATATTTCATGGGATCGGGGGTAATTAGGAGCTATGGGGCTGCCTCGGCAGCGCCTAATTGAGCTCCCAAGACGTAAGAAAGAAAAAGGAACTTCTAGGAAGGGTAAGGAATGGGGGAGGAAACACGAGAAGATGAGGTGAAGGTGTAACGTAGGCCCATGAGCAAGGAATGAATGTGGGGATGGGGAAAAGGGAAACATCGATCTCGAGGGAAGCATCGGGAAATGGGATTGCCCCCATCGCCCGGGAACTTCGGAAAGGGTCGCGTTGGAAGTGCACGACCGAGCGAACGATGGCCGAACGTTATCCTCCTCCCTCCGTCGGGCGAATGATATCCTCTTTCCGCTGAGCGAATGATGTCTTCCTCCTTCCGCAGGCATACAAGGTGTACTACACGAACAACCCCTCTCTGGGGACCGGGGCGTGGTCGAGTCAGCAGGTGGACCGGAGCATCCTGACCACCGTGTCCGGGTTGACGCCGCTGACGGTCTACACGGTGCGGGTGCAGGCGTACACCTCGGTGGGGCCGGGCCCGCTCTCGCCGCCGGTGCAGGTCAAGACTCAGCACGGAGGTAGGCGCTGCTTCCGTCGGGGGGGCTTTCGTCGAGGCAATTTGCGTCACGGGGGACGACAAAGGGGATATGGCAGGTGAAGCAGATCAGTTATGAAGGGGAGGAGAAAGGGGGGAGGGAAGTTTCACTTTCCCCGCTCTGAGAGATGGGGAGAGACTGCCTTGATTGCTCTAATCCTCTTTTGTCTTCGAGGCAGAAGATGGAAAGTCAACAGCCGGCAGCTTTCTTTTTTAAAATGTCTATGAGACTCATAATTTCTTCCCCGTTGATGGACTTTGAAGAAATCAATGTCATGAAATGGGGGAGGGGGGGTCTCATCGCGGACATCTGTTGCCCCCTCGTTCCCCTTTGCCCCCACACGAATGAATAGATCCCTTGATTCCACTGTCTCTTCCAATAACTGGGATGGACTTCACCCAGTAGATTACTCCTGAAATAGCAGTGACAGCTGCAGGCCTTTGAGGATCCGAGATCCTTCTGGGGGTCTTTCGTTCTTGATGTTTCATTTTTCTTTTCCGTATTCACTGCCGACGCAGGAAGGGCCCATTCAGTCATTGTCAGAAACAGTTAACAGAAGGGGGGGGATCAAGAAGTGAGGCCGGATTTGTGGCTTAATCGCAGTGTCATGAGATGCAGATGAGGTCGGTGTCATTTCGGGTCTCATCCATCTTCATTTCCCCTTCCCCTCTCACCTCGTACAGAACTTTTCTCGAATCCCTCTGGTCCAACTTCTTCATCCCGAGTCGTGTGATTATGGAGATGCCGAAAGATGATCCTTTTTTTGGGTTGCAGTTCCATCTCAGCCGAACAACCTGCGAGTGGTGGATCGGACTCCGACGACCATCACTCTCAAGTGGGACCGGCCGGACCACGCCCAGGAGTCCATCATCAGCTACGAGTTGTATTGGAACGACACCTATTCGAAGGTGGGATGGGACGTGGGTTTTGCGGTGGTGGTTAACGCTTTTGCGGACGAGCATAGTATGCTCATTTGCGCTCAGAAACCGTCGCTCGGAAAGTGGAAACTTATAACTAGGGAGCGGATTTTTATGCGCTAATAAGTTCAAAAATATGCTCATACATATGCACTTAAAAATGCCAAAATATGGATGAATGCGGTGAAATATGCAAAAACTTGTTTGTTTTTTTTTTTACATTTTTTTAATGCAATACGAATTTCTCGGAAGAAGGAACTTCAATTTACATTTCATGCCACTACTGGGTGTAGTTGATCTATTGCTGTCACGGGGAGCAGCAAATCCAGGAACACGCCAATGGAGGGCTAAGGGAAACGAACGGGGGCCAGGATTTCCTAACCCACGCCATCCTAAGCCCCCCCCCCCCCGTCGCTACACTGCTGGTCACAGCAGCACATAACCGCTCGAAAATTTCCATCAGTAGCGCATAAAAAAAACACATTCCTGGAAAATCCTTATTTTTCCCCTCAAAAATGGCGAAATATGCATAAATATGCAAATGCTGAGAAAAACCTAAAAATATTCTTTTTTAAAATGGCAGAAATCACGCCTCCCCCCACCAATAAGGCATGTTCCTACCTGGGTTGCATGTTCCTAGGAGGCTGCATAAAAAATATGCATTTACATAAATATCCGCTCCCTACTTATAACTCAGTGTAATTACTTCAAGACCGAGGCTTGTTATGAAATATTGATTTTGGCCTACATTGTCACAGAGTTTTTATTCTGAAAATGCAATGTGGATGCTGCTTTGAAATAATTAATTAAAAAGCGTAAAAGTTTCTGTGATCCCATGTAATTGTCACATGTTGCTGTTCGTACATTGTGTATACAGTATAGTGTTCTTTACCCTGAGATTATGGGTTTCCCAGTTTATGAAGAAGAGAAATACCATTGTTGAAATACCATTGATTGAAATACCATTGATTGAAATACCATTGATTGCAGTACCATTGATTAAAATACCATTCATGATGAAGAGAAATACCATTTCTAGGATTTGGCTCTGCATTGTGTGGTGCTTTTTAAAGCTGTCCAATTGTGTTTTTGTATTCTCATAAGTTTATGCTATCCTCCTAGTATTTATGCTGGTCATCAGAATGTATCAAGACAACCTACAAGAAGTGAGCATTTTTGTTTTCTGTGATGTGCAGGAAGTCCATCGCAGAAGCATTCCGGTCGTGGAAGAGTACCTCCTCACCAGCCTTTATCCAAACAATCAGTACTTCATTTGGCTCGCTGCGAAAAGCAAGAGGGGCGAAGGTGCATCCACTCCTCCCATGCTGGTCTCCACACAGGAGTACGGTAAGTAGAGGAACGGTCGTTCGGGCCCGAAGGCGACGGGGTCTCGGTTAGGCGGATCGGAGGAAGAGCTGACGGGAGGGAGTCCTTCGCAAGGGAGCATGAGAATCTTGCATGCTTTTTTTTTGTGACACTTATGCTCGCAGTCTCATATAGTACGTCTGCTGCGTTGTGGGCCGATCGATGAATGCGGGGCGAAACCTTCAGTCCGAGGTCTAACCGATTGGCAATATATGAGGATAGCCCATGGTGAAAATAACAGACGTTTAGTGCCTATTCTTCAATGGGTGCTCTGTCCAATTTTTATCCAAGCATGATCCCTATCAATCTCAAGTAAATGTGTACTGTAGTGCCTTGAGCAGTAGGATTTTTCAAGGATATCTTCATTCATTTTAGTCCCACAAACGCAAAATATATGAATAATATGGATAAGTCCCTCATTAAATTGGATAGGACTTGCCAAGTATTTATAAAACTTATTTTCCACCTTATAATTTTATCAAAATCATCAGTGCTTTCTGTATTTCTTCATATTTGATCTCAATATGGTTGGATCTGCTATTAGGTTTTATACTTCTTTGAGGTTGTGCTCAGAATGTTCCAAGAACTAGTTCTTTTAGGTATTGTCACTGCAGACTTCCCAGGGCACAACATGGCAGATATACTATACTACATACTGTCATTTCTGAGCATGTGTAGCGTAGTCCAGCACAAATTTTTTGAGAGAGAGTTTGGAGAAATGTCATGAGAGTTTTCTGAAATAGAGTTTTCTGAAATTCATTTCATTATTTGACATTTGTATTAAAATGTATTATGCAGCAAATGTAAGTTGTTGGCAGAGTTGTTGGCTTCTTGTTTCCTATCTGATTTTGCTTCATTAGCATCAAGATGATCTGGAGTTGTATCTGTTCTTTTAAGAGGGATGTGTGTTATTGGAAATCCAAAAACTTGATGTTGTTGATTCTGTAAATGGAAGCTGCAACTGCTGAGAGCTCCCTGTATTGATGAGAACTGTTTCATGCAAATCTTCTATCCCCATTTGTCCAAATGCAAATTGGAGAAGACATCCTCATAAAGTACCATTGGTTTGCAGCTCACAGTTGCTGCATCTTTGAAGTGAACAAGAGTTTTCTCTCCTGACATTTCTTTCAAGCATAATGCATTTGCGCACCAATATATTATTTTGTGCACTATGTCCTGCACCTCTTACCTCCTCCTTCTCCTGGAAAAACACCTCTCTCCCTCCCTCAACACCTGGATTTATTGTCCACGCGGCCGATCCCCCTTAGTACCCGGAGCCCCTCCGCAACACGTGCGGGTGATGCCGGAAGACTCCCGCTCCCTGCGTGTGACGTGGGAACCCCCTCCGGCCCGCAAGGCCAACGGGGAGATCATCTATTACAAGATCCGCTACGTCCAGTCCTCGCTGTCGGATTCTGACGCCGTAGAGATCAAGATCCCTAACCCAGATGCTCGGTCTTGGATCCTGGAAGAATTGTATAAATGGACCGAGTACAAGATCTGGGTGCTTGCTGGGACTATTGTGGGGGATGGTCCCCCCTCAGAACCCATCCTGCGTAGGACTGACGAAGATGGTGAGTTCACTCTCTCCATCATTTGCCATTGCTCTTATATGAGTGAACATATAGAAAAGTTGACTTGTAGCATTATTTAGTGGTGGCTTATCAAAGAGTTTATCAACTGCAAATCTTTGCAAAACCCTAAGGACCAGACTTCTCATCACTCAGGATGTATTGGAGAGTGAGACGAATTTGCAAGTATAGTATGATGCCAGGCTAGGCTAGGCTGACTTGTTTTCTGATAGCATGGTAAAAGGCATTTGGGATTCATTCTCTGCTTTCATGTGGTTGATGTAGTTTGTGAATGGGATGCCAGTGGAAAGAGGAGAGCAAGAATGGATTCCCCAATTTCATTTGCTCAATTTCCTCATTTCGGTTGCTTGATGCCAGTCAATGCCAATTAGAACCCCTATCTCCCATGTCTTTGCAGGTCTTGTGATATGAAGTTTCTCTTTCTAGTTGCAGGTACTAAATGTTGAGATGCACCAGACCTGTTCATGTTTAAGCTGATATGGTTTCATAATAGGAATCCATGCAAAGGTTAAGTTATGCTGGTGATTAACACTATGCCCCATAATGAAACCAAATCTGTTAATATTGAATCACTGTTGCATTTTGCATATAGTATGTTACAGAGAAAAAATACTAAATCAAACCATATGAGTCAATCAGTCTTGTTTCATATGAAGTGATTGAATTAATGAAAGACTGACCGTGTTCCTGGCATCCTAAGTGACATATTATGTCCTTTAGTTCCTCATTGTCCAGTTATCTTCAGTCCTATAGGAAAGGTCTTCATTATTTTTATTTAATTATTTATCCAGTATTTTATTTTTATTATTTATTAGCTCTGAAGTATGACTGACCTGAATAAAGAAATAACAGATAACATCCAATCACTTTCCCTAAGGAATGGAAAGCATTCATTCTTCATTTCATCAGGGTTCTTTACAAGTAAGTCCTGGTGTTTGAACTGTATTTAGGAGAACATCCACTCCTGCTCTCTACCTTCCTCTTGGTCAGATCTCATCAACATAAGGTACTGAGTGCTGTAGGCCCACACTTTAAGGACTGTGCATGTAGATTACCTTTTTCTGCAATGTCTTGAAGGTATTAGAATATTTTGAAAGAGACTTTCATCATCTTTCATGTCCCCTCTGACTACCAAGTATAGTATATTTTTTATATGGACTTCCTTGGTACATTTGCTTTTTCTTAGTTTGTGCTTTGATATTAAATGCTCATCTCTCTATTTGTATATATAGTTAAGAAGATAAAATAGAGTCCATCTTTTTAGATGGTCATCTCCGTGCAACTATAACTCAAGATACTGGTACTTGAAGCAGTGTATGCTGAGGTGTAATTCATGCATGAAGTAGTCAGTGTGACATGAAAGGTATGATGTCCTTGCACACCACCGTACCATGGCCACTTTTCATCGCATCGTAGACTCCAGTAGCCATGAGTGACAACTTCTGAATGAATTAGTCAACACAACAGGAAGCGATGCTAAAGGTCTTTCTTGTCTCTTTGTCTTTTTCCTTCTCCCTCCTATTGATTCCATGCAGACGGACACATGTAAGGTAGAAGAGTGCGAGGAGTCCTGAACCAGCCAGTACTTTTTCTCCTCCTTTGCACCTCCTCCCTCTCCTTTCACACTCGTGTCTCTTGCTCACATTTCTTGCACCGCTGTGTCCTCAACGGGTGGCAGGGGACTCGTCCGGCGAGATGCTCCTCTAGCGTCGATGCAATAGATCTTGGTTGTCGGCCGTAGATCAATCGAGTTGCCGAGATCGTTTGGAATGCCCAGTAGTCCGTGTATAAGAATGGAGCGTCTTGTGGTTGAGCCCCTGCAGCCCTTGAAGATTTAGCTTGAAGAGCACCAGGGAAAGCTTTTTTTCTCACTCATGAGCAGTTTCTTTTTTTTGAAGCAAGTCAATAAGCACACACACACCCTTATGCTTATCCTATTGCTTGGCACTTGAAAAGTCACAGGGAGCCTGGATTGATCACGGCACGAGGAACAAAAGTTCCTGATGGAATCGGATGTCTTTGTCTGCACTTGTCTTGGGAATACACTCCTTTCACTGTCCTGCACTTTCTCTTTTGCACTTCAGCATGGGATTTGGGATAATAATGATGGTGATGATCACGTTGAACCGTGCCACATACGTGATCGGTGCACTCTTGATGTCATTCATCTTTCAGGAATGCAAAAAGATGTTTTTGGTATGGCACAGCATTTGAATACCATCAGCACACATTGCCCTGATTCTCACCATTGAATTGTACTTGCCTTGTCTGTCTTCTCTGCATTTTTTCAGTATGTAACTATTGAGTAAAAGGCACTGATATCATGTCTCTTAATATTATAGCTTGGCATGCTTGCATGGCGTTTCATTAGCAACACCTTGTGTTGTATTGCATCTGTCCATCTGTCCTACACATACATGGTATAGGGACAATGTCTGTCTGTCTATCTGTCTGTGTTGTCTGTCTGTCTGTCTGTCTGTCTACCATGCGTAGAGGCATGGCAGAGTTTTTTTCTCTATGCAAGGGTGCTTTTCTGTCTCACAGCCATGTTTTTTCTCTTTCCTTTTCCCTTCCGTCCTTGGTCTTTGTGGCGTCCGCATTTGTTTCTCCCTCCCTTTGCGTGTGCATCTGTGAAAAATCCTCTCCCTCTTCACTTCAGCCTTCCGTAAGTTCTTTCATTGCCTCACCTGAGCTTTGTATGTCTTTTTTTTCCATGTGACATCTTCCCCTGCATTCTTCTGAATGCTAATGCCATCAGTCTTGCTTGAGAAGACATCATGATGACTTTCCTATCTAACACTTAACACTTGCTAATGGGAGACGAGAAACTTGCAAGAAAGCATGGCATTCTGCTTCCTCCTTTTGGATCTTCTCTTGTGACAACTTCCAGGCTCAACATTTCCACTTCGTGTACATCAGAAAGCACTTGATTTATGAAAAAAAAAGGAAAAATGATGATCTATTTTGTATCTGTCTGGTTGTGAAGTGGTTGGCCCTTCTACTCCTGAGATGGAAGTAGAGAATGGTGGAGGGTAATAGAAATTTCATAATGAATAACTTATGTTCATATTCCTCTACATCTATAAGGGAAACTTCATTTCATTGGCTGATTTATATATTTTTTGTTTTTTTTTGGAGCCGTCATTGCCTAGGTGCCAATAGTGTCTATACCATAAAAGCTTTTTCTCTTTTTAGAGGCTTAGCACATCCTTGCAGAAGGAGATTCATGAGGTGTGATATCAGATTTCCCTTTCATAGTATGCATAAGCTGGGTTGTTTTGGTCAAGAAACCAGCAAGCATTGAGAATATGTCAATATCCCTCTATGGCCCTTTCTGCTCTGGCTTGTTGGCTCTATCATGTTTGATTTGCAACTTGTCAGACTGTGGTGTGGTCCTTGAAGCTCATTAAGAGTGAATAAGAAAAATAATTGAACTGACAACACAACAGTAGTGTATTGCAATCTCAGATCCATGTAATATATTCAGTATGATTCTGGAGAGGAAACAGATGCAAAGTACCATTGAAGAATATGGAAACTGTTTGATGGGAGTTTCAGTTGCTTTGGTTGAAACTGGCTAGGCAGATTCAAAACTTAAACTGGATGGGCAAAAGTAAGACTGATCAAAATTACTGTGGTGTAATTTAAACTACCTTTGCTGCTGATACTACCCCGAATATCTTTTTCTGGCTTTCTGAATGAGAGGTGTCTTGGATGAGGAACCATTGCAAGGTGCTTAAACTGATTTAAATCTCTAAATCTCACGAAAGCCAAAACTGAAAAACTGATCTTTAATCTATAGCTGGTTTCTTTTTATATTTCCATGAAAATATGATACTTGAATGATACATGACATGAAGTCTTTCTCTGGTTTGAAATGAGATATTTATTCCATAATTGTTGATTTACTTCATCCAAAAAACAAGCAGGATCTATTGGTGCTGTGTGCATGTTCCAATAGGTCTTTAAAGTAAAAAAAAATGTGAAAATTCACTGAAAAAATCATGTAAGCAATTTTCAATAGAATTTCACAATATATTTTTAACTTTTCCAATACCACAAATTTCAATTAAAGGGGAACTTACTTTGAATTCAGTGAAGCTCCAAGAGGAGGATGGCTATGGAATCTCCCATTGGCAAAGTGCAAGTTGATTGCAGCATGAAGTTTCATGTTAAGTGAAAATGTGGTAATTTTAAAGTGGTAAAATGATAGTCTGAATGGAAGCCCCAAAGTTTGTCAATGCTGTTAATTAATATTTAAGAAATGTTGGAATATACTGGAAAAAGGATAAGGTGTTAGAAAGTTTTGTTACTTGGTCACACCCTGAAGATCTCTCAAGTTTCCTTTAATCATGAAATTACACAGAGAATATCTGAATTTCATTTCTTGACCCCCATCAGTTGCTATGCTGCCATATTCCTGAGCACTTGACCTTTGGGTATGTTTGTGAATACTTTGGTAGGCTTTTTAACCCAATAATTGTGTTTTATGTTGTTATATATGCTGAAGCTCCTATTGCCTAACTTTAGTTGTTTATCTTCTTTCTTTTTAGTCTTCAAAATTTTAGGAATGTAATTAAAAATATGATTAAGTTTCAAGAAAGTAAGTTCATGAAGAAGTTCTCTGATGGTAATGTAGGATTGAAGGGGATAGTGCTGGTATTCAAATGAGGTGTCCACATGATGGACTCCCAATCACCTCCACTGCATCCATAGCAAAGCACAGCATTTTTCTTAATCATATATAGTGCCGGGGGAGCCACGTGACATGAAGGTTCAGGTGGTGAACTCCACGTCTGTCTCTGTGGAATGGAAGCCTCCTGAGCAAAAGGAGCAGCATGGGGTCATTGTTGGCTATCAGATCTACATTCAGGAGACTGATAATGGCGAGAAGCTCCTTGGGGAGCCACTTTTCTACATTGTTCAAAATGGATCTGCTCTGACTTACCTTGTCATGGATCTTCAGCCGGATTCAAAGTATCAGGTTCAGGTGGCAGCCATGACACGAAAGGGTGATGGGACACGAACCTCTCCTATTGTTGTCAAGACTCCTGGAGGGGTTCCCTCAAGACCCACTCTCCAGATTAGGTAGACTTGCTACTTGTTTTTATCATTTATTTTTGGTTGATAGAAATCATAATGAAAGCTCTTTACTTCTTATTTAAAAAAAAAAAGAAGAATCTGAGAATCTGTAATTGAGAATAGGTGTATAATTACAAAGGCATGAAGGTAGAAGGAAAAGTCTTATTTAAAGACATTTTAAGGTTCTGGAAGCAGTTTAAGAATTTGAAATGGAACTTTTGTTCACTCAGGCTATTAGAAGGAGAGACTCATGGAGTAGCCATTGAAGCAACATGGGTCAGTCCATCACGGCCATTTGGGAAGATTCAGGGGTGGCGCCTACGTTATGGAAAACGACCCAATTCCCACCTGAATCTTCCTCGCAATGAGCAGGAGAAGATTGACATGAAAGAGATAGTCTTGAATGATCCAATGAAGAACCAATACACTATTCAAGACCTTGGTAAGTAAATAAGTCCTTCCAGTGTCCTTTTTTTTTTGAATGGCATGTTTGTGCTAACATGGAATCACCATTCGCAGAGAAGGGATTTGAGTACGAATTCCGACTGGCTGGCCGCAATGAGGTTGGATACGGTCAGGAGGCAGTAGCCTATATCACAACACCCGAGGGACCTCCTACTGGGCCCCCCACAAATTTATCCTTTCACTTCATCACTCCGGATATTATCGTGATCACTTGGGATGACCCGCAGGCCCCCCATCGCAATGGCCGCATTGTTGGATACACCCTTCAGTTCCATAAGAAAAGAGATGATTACCTCATCTTGGAGAGAAATATATCCACCCCAAAGGTAGCTTTGTTTATAAAGGTCAAAATCCTTCAGTGAACCAGGAAAGGATGTGAGCTGTACTTTCTCATCTTTTCTCAGTTGGTGATGAAAGGGTTGGAAGAGGACACTTCGTACTACTTCCGGATCCGTGCCTACACCAGCAAAGGTGCTGGTCCTTTTTCGGAGAAAATGCCTGTCACAACCATTGAAGAGATTGTCCGTGCTCCCCTTAATGTTCGTGCCATGGCTACTTCAGACAATTCCTTAGAAGTCTGGTGGGAAGAAGTTCCAGGGCGGGAACGTATCATTGGATACAGGGTGATTGGGCCTCTTTCATAAGTTTGAGTCTTCTGAGAATGATGGAGGTTTCATATTTTGCTTTTGTGTTCTTTTCAGATCTACTATACCATGGCTGCTACTGAGGATCTGGATTTGTGGCTCCATAAAGATATCCCAAGCACATCTTCAGCAGAATTGCAAAACCTGGAACGCATGGCCATGTATTCCATACAAGTTTCTGCCCGCACCAAAGAGGTGAGACTGACTGGCCAGGTTTCAGTGTTGGCTTTGTCTTTAAAGAGTAGTGAAACAGATTTATATATCAGAGGATGATTTCTACTCAGGGGGACTTGGGTAAGCTCTCAGAGATGATACTGGTGAAGGTGAAGCCAGAAGATGTCCCTATGAATTTGAGAGCTGATGGCGTGTCCACACACAGCATGACCCTCCGATGGGAGGTTCCACGTGTTCTCAATCCCGTCAAATATAAGGTTACGTCTGGAGTATTTATTTCTGTTTTTAGCCTATCCCTTTGCCCCTTTATGCATATAGTAGGAAAATCTACAGTCACGTTTTTCCACTGCCTAATAGCATCAGAGTATCTTTCGTGCAAAAGCGTGCATTGACAAAGATCAATTTACTTGTGGAATTAGCACTGGAGAAATTTACAACTAAGGTAATTTTCCCTTCAGAGATGTGATAAAGGCTGACTCACTTCAGAGCACAATTTACAAATTTTGTGTGTTTTTTTTTCACTTCTTTTTTAACAATCAAGATACAGAGTATAGATGACAGATAATTACCAAAAAAAGTTTGGTACTCATGGAGGGACAACTACTTATTTCCAACAGATTTCATTTGATGCTGTGAAAGAGTATGTGGACAATAATGGAGTGACACAGAGGCAGGTAATCCAACCTCGTGTCATCTTTGTTGAACGTATCAAGAACTCCTGTCAATTAGAGAAGCTCATCCCCTTCACAACTTACATGGTGAATGTGAGTGCTGTGCCACCTGATGAGGGCTACCGTCCTCCAGCTCACATCCTTGTCACGACACAGATGGCCGGTGAGACTCGTGTTGTTTGTTCACTCTTGACTTTTCAGTGCATTCTGTCATCATGTCATATGATGGTTTCACAGCCCCTAAACCCCTTGCACGGCCTGACTTCTATGGTGTCACGGAATCGTCCACCATCATGGTTGCTGTGCCCCAGGCTTCTGAGGAATTTGGACCCATATCGCACTACTTTCTAGTTGTGGTGCCTGAGAGCAAGTCAGCTGATCCTGTCAATCCAGATGCCTATCATATTTCAGATGATGTAAGACTTTTCCTAAGTTCATTCCATATAAGAGAACCCAATGGACTATGGCACTATGAGATCATTCATCCAGGCTGTGGGACGGAAAGGAGTGGATCTCTTGAGCAGTCCCTTCAACAACCTTCTTCCTGAGGATCAGCCATATGTTGCTGCCAAGTTTATTGGACGGGATATTCCTTACATCTTTAACCTGGGAGACAATCAGACCTACAATGGACACCACAACAGACTGTTATCGATGGATAAACGTTACCAGATCTTTGTTCGTGCCTATGTTGCCACTCCCACAAAAGTGAGTCAGGTGTTAGATGGATTTGTTCACTTTTAAGTGAAGTTGTTATTGAAAGAAAATGCACTTTCTCATAGTCAAACCTGTTTGGGACAAGCCACATGTCGAGGTTTCTGTCCTTGGACATGAGCAAAATTCCCCCTGGTCCCAGACCGAGTGAACGTCCGGTCCCCACTTCAGGCAACCACAACTCAGAAGTGACAGCTCAACGATCGGCCAAGAAGGGGGAACTGATGTGGATAGTTGGCCCTGTGATCGCTGCCTTACTCCTTGTATTGTGTGTGGTGTTTTTCGTCTACGTGCGGCGGAGGAGAACCCTGCCCAAGGGTCAAGAAGCTGCAGCTGTGATCAAGCCGTTGATCTCCTCTGAGGTCCCAACGATTGGTGCCCCATCAGATCCAGTTGAACTCAGACGGATGCATTTCCAGACACCTGGCATGGCTAATCATCCTCCAATTCCATTGACAGAACTTGCCAATCATATCGATCGCTTGAAAGCCTGCGATAATCACCTGTTCACACAGGAATATGAGGTGAGAACAAGATCTCTGCATTACCTCTCACACTTAATCATTAATGGAAGTCAGTTATATCATGAAAGTCATTCCTTTGCAGTCCATTGAGACAGGGCAGCAGTTCACTTGGGAAAACTCCAACCTTGAGGTGAACAAACCCAAGAACCGTTATGCAAATGTAATCTCCTATGATCACTCCCGTGTCATCCTCCAACCTTTCGATGGAATACCAGGCTCTGACTATATCAATGCCAACTATTGTGATGGCTATAGAAGACAGAATGCATACATTGCCACTCAGGTCTGGCCCAACAGGGAGACATTCCCAATCTTAAGTGGATGGGTATTGGTGTTCAGTTATGCAGATTGAGTTTCACTATGCCACAGGGGCCTTTGCCAGAGACGTTTGGAGACTTTTGGCGAATGATCTGGGAACAAGGAACGGCCACAATTGTGATGATGACAAAGTTGGAGGAGCGGGCACGCATCAAATGTGATCTGTACTGGCCACCACGAGAGGGGTCATCTGAAACATATGGCTTCATTTCAGTCACTACACTGGAGATCTGTGAGATGGCCACCTACACCATTCGCACCTTCTGCCTCCGAAAGGTCTGATGTCTCATTACTTTTGAGGGGCGGTCAATAAGTTAAAACTCGCTATATCACTATACTTTTTATACATATCAGAGCCTTACTCTTGTATTTTTTTTTTTTAGCATAATCCTCTATCACTTCAATGTACTTTGCAGTTATTTGCTTAAAGATTTGCCAGTGGTAAATCATTTCTTCTTGACCCTCCAACTTGCTAACCCTTCAACTCCATGGCCTCCTTCAATGATTTCTCATATGGAAATCTTTCTCCTTTTAATTTTGACTTCATGAATTGGAGAAGATAGTATTCACTGTGGGTCAAGTATGCTGAGCATTCAACATGCTGATCACCCTGCACATTTAGGGTAATCAGCATCCTAGAATCCACATGCTTTCAATGTACCCTGAGCAATGCAGAACTTGTTGATGGATGTATTCTTGTGATGATGCAGGTTGTGGTTTAAGAGTTAAATTTATGAAAATTTGAATAGGAGGCATAATGCCACCACAAAGAAACCTAAGAGGAGGCCAATTAGGTTTTCCTAATTGGAAATCATGCAGTTCAATAGCTAAAGTATAATTTGAGGGATGAAACACTTTTCTTGAATATTAATTTCGGTAGGCCTTTTTTTGACCACCTCTCATTTCGTATGAGCTACTTTATATCTGTCAGCTGACTCTATTGTCACGAATTACAGGTGCTGACAGGGGAAGAGAGGGAGGTGCGGCACTTTCAATTCACAGCATGGCCAGACCATGGTGTTCCTGACCATCCTGCCCCATTTCTTCAATTCCTGCGACGAGTGAGAAACCTGAACCCTCCCACTTCTGGGCCCGTCATTGTTCATTGCAGGTGAGCATTTACTAGGATGGGGAGAGGAAGCAGAATGCTACTAAGTAAAGCATTATTTAAAAAATATGAATTGTTGAAGGATATTGTACTCCAAAATGTTTATTGTTTGTAGTGTTCTTGGATTTTTGTGGCTTAAGGAATATGTTAAATTCATGTAAGGATTTGGATATCTTTGTGTATTTGTGACACCCTACTTGAAGCATCAATATTATCTGAAATGGTTCCTCTTATAGGGTATTCAAGAAGTTTATAAATGCTTTTTGAAATGTATTACTCTTTGCCAGGTAGGCATAGGGCAGTGAGCTTTGACATTGTTAATATTAATTCATATTAATTGAGGTTATATTATTTTCCTCACACCATAATGGCCTGATTTATCATGCGGAAAATAAAAAACTAAAGATGATAAAACTTCACAGTAAAAGAAAATGGAAGTAGTAAGATAAGCAAGTCCTCAGCTTGAGATACATAATCATCGAAAATAGAACATTTGCACATAGTGCATGGTGCACAGTTTCTTTCAAGCCAACCAGTTCAAAACAGAATTGAGAAAAGTCTTTATGAATGAGATAGGAGCAGTCTGAATACCCATTCCTTCTGTAAATACCTACAGCCATGTCAGGGAAACATCCCTTTATCCAACTACAAGCATCTTGCACAAAATGGGCTGAAGCCCTAATTTTCATTCTTATGGATAGCTTAAGCACCTTCACTTTGGATAACACTTTCTTGATTCATGGTGTTGGTGATGAGAAGTGTTTCTGGCCGTCATCTCAGAAGCATGTTTTCAAAATTCCCTTTTTTTATTTTGGAGTTGTGGATGTATGAATTATAGATGAGTCCACATGAGACTATTTGTAGACAGCATCTTTTATCCTGTATTACTTGGAATTCAAATTTAGTTGATGCAACAATGAGAAAATGGTGCCTTGAGGTTGAACTTCTCCTGCCTTCCCATCTTCTAACCTTCCCCCTTCCTTTGCTCTCGGGAAATAAAAAGCATTTTCATTGGATGACTGCTTGAAGGCATTGCACACTATTGTAATCTGCTTTTACCTGTACAACATTTTTCACATTCTTCCAATCATCCTATCAGGTCTTGCCAGTGATGCCATGTTTCTTTGCATACAGTTACTTTATAAGAACTTTGCAAGGCAGAGCAAATGCTAATTTTGATCCTCTGAATCTGGAACAAGACTTTCACAATATTTATTTTCACTCAAGAATTATTGGTGTGAAAAGTTTATACTGTTGGTATTACAATTATAAAGAATTCCCTTCATTGATCTTGTAGCAGTAGTTAAATTTTTCTCATTCCAAATATCTTTCAAATTTATTCATTTTTATGAAGTTCTTTTTCAGTCAGCAGCCTGAGTCATTATGCTTATCATGTAAGTATTGCTGTTGTATTCCAGTGCCGGAGTGGGAAGAACTGGGGCATACATTGTGATTGATGCCATGTTAGAACGCATGAAGAACGAGAACTCTGTTGACGTCTATGGCCATGTGACTTGCCTCAGAGCCCAGAGAAACTACATGGTCCAGGTAATGCCAATTAACAAGAGCCCAACAACTGTTGAATGATCTTCTGCTATTACTTGCAATTCTTGGGGTTTGAATGAGGTGTTGAGTACATTTCATGTCCTGTGGGGTTACAGACGGAGGACCAGTACATCTTCATTCATGATGCCGTGCTGGAAGCGGTTGTCTGTGGAAGCACTGAGGTCCATGCACGCAACTTGCAGGCTCATGTTCAGTCCTTGCTCTCTCCCGACCCAGGAGACAATGTGACTCCCATGGAAATGGAATTCCGGGTCTCTTCTCCTTTCCTGCTCCCCTCCTTTGTTCTTCTTGGAAGTGATGTTAATGGTGGACCTGTTTCTTTTGTAGCGGTTATCAACCTTAAAGTCTCAGGCATCCCGATTTGTCAGTGCCACACTGCCTTGCAACAAGCACAAGAACCGACTGGTGAATATCCTCCCATACGAATCCACTAGAGTCGGCCTGTCACCCATCCGAGGGCAAGAGGGCTCTGACTACATCAATGCCAGCTTCATTGATGGATATAGGTTGTTTCTTTTATCAGTTGCCACTTTCCAAAAAAGAAGAACTTGACACTTATTCACCTGATCTTGTTGTTTGTGCCAGATATCGCAATGCTTACATTGCCACCCAAGGTCCATTGCCTGATACAGTTGAAGATTTTTGGAGGATGCTTTGGGAACACAATTCCACAATCATTGTCATGTTGACCAAACTGAGGGAGATGGGACGAGTGAGTCACTCTCAGGCATTGTTCATTCTAGCTTGAGGATTACATGAAACACAGATGGCTTTATTATGTTATCACAGGAGAAATGCCACCCTTATTGGCCCAATGAGCGGTCAGCCAGATACCTATACTATGTGGTTGACCCTATTGCTGAGTACAATATGCCACAGTATATACTGAGAGAGTTCAAAGTGAGTATTGATTGAGAATTTTTTGCTCTGTCCAAAAGTTCCTACTGTGTAGATCATAAACCTGAATTTGCCTTGAATATCAGGTGACAGATGCAAGGGATGGTCAAACACGCACCGTGAGACAGTTTCAGTTCATTGACTGGCCAGAGCAGGGTGTTCCTAAAGTTGGAGAAGGGTTCATTGACTTCATTGGCCAAGTTCACAAGACTAAGGAGCAGTTTGGACAGGAAGGACCAATCACAGTGCACTGCAGTGCAGGCGTTGGAAAGACTGGGGTCTTCATCACACTCAGCATCGTCTTGGAGCGCATGCAGTACGAGGGTGTCATAGATCTCTTCCAGACGGTGCGCATCTTACGGACGCAGCGACCCGCCATGGTCCAAACTGAGGTCTGCTTGATTTCATTAGTATAATGCAACATGTGGAATGAGAGTTTATGGTTGCCTTTTCTCATTTGCTGTCTTTGTAGGACCAGTATCATTTCTGCTACCGGGCCGCTCTGGAGTACTTGAATTCCTTTGACCACTATGCAGTGTAGCCGAAATCAAGCGTCTGTGATCAAGCCGAGGCATGGAACGAGATGGTGGCATGTGCAAACCCGAGATCTGCCTTCTCAGTGCCTCTCTCCCAATCTCTCTGCATGAAAATCACAAAAACAGAGGACAATTCCGTTTGCTCAGGTTCCTCCTGTATGTCTGCTCCCAAACTAGACTGGCGTTTTTTACATTCAGGTTTTATTTTATGTTGTTAGTCTGCTGTCAAACCAGACTAAGATTTTCCATTCATTTTCCAGATTGTGTAAAAGTATTGTATTTCTTGTCATTGGACTTGGTGAATCTTCATCTCAAAGGTGCTGCTTGTGTGTTTTTTTCATTTCTTATTTCGACACTTGACTTTCCCACATTTACAGAATTGATCTCAAGTCTGTGATTCTTTTATTTCTGTCTCTGTCACTCTTGTACTGTGTGAGGCACAAAGAAAAGAGAAAGAGTTGTATGAGAGTGAAGGATGGGAGTTTTTCCATATCGTTGTGGCCATATCCCCCATGGCAGTACATCTTGCTGTGTCTCGTCTCAGTAGAACTTCTAGCTGATATTCATGGTTGTTCCCCCCCCCACTGTTGTGGCATGGAACCAGATGTTTAAATAAAACTCCAAATCTGGAAGTTCCCCTGTCCAGGGAATGTTGTCATTGAAAGGGTTGACATGGCACTGGTTCCTAGGTCATCTGGGAGCCTCACTCTGTCCTCATTCAGAAGTGTGTCTGCTTTAGTTCTTTCTGTTTTTCCTTTATTGATGCATGGTGGTGCTGTCAGTGTGCTCATTAGTGAGGTCAACAATCACCCTAGGGCTGGCCCAACATTAACCAAACAACAGATACTCTGTTAGTCAGATAGGGCAAGAGTTGGCTTTAGTTGAATTTCACTTGTTTCTTAATCCACTAAGTTCAATTGTGACATAGTTGTCCTATTTGGCATAAACAAAGTGCAAAACTTATGGATGATTACTGTGAAAAATGGGCTTGAAGGTGAAAGTTCTTCCAAATATTCATAGAAAAACAGAACATTATAAATTTAATGGAGACAAAGAAAAGAAGCATGGGGCAAAATAAAAAAAAACATGTAAAATTAGGTCTCTTCCCCTTCATCCTTCCAACAAGCTTCAATCTTTAATGGTTTGTATTTGTGTCATGAATATGTGGCTGTCATGAAGAGCTATGAGAGGTATAACATGTGGGTCTGCAATGAGTACTAGGAAGTGGGAGAATAGAGCAGGAAGTCCCAATTGGCTCTTGATGCATTAATATTCCATTATTTTGCAAATTTCCTGGATGTGAAACAGAGTCCTTATTTATTTGCTATATCCTGAAAATTTGAGACATTTATAGGCATTTGGAAATTTAAAAAAATTTGGCAAATGCAAAATACTGGGAAACTAGGCAAAAAATAAATAAATAATGCTGATTATGCTATAATGCTGAACTGGCACTCGCATTGCAGATGAAGTGTTTTAATCATTAAATTGAGATCAGTCATTCATTCATGGGCTCAAGGACAACATTATATTGAATCTTAAATTTAGAATTTCTAGACCTGTCTCAGAATCACTTATTTTTGAGCTAGTACAGGCAGTGTAGGAAAAACAAAATTTTTTCTCATGAACCTAAGGCAAAAAATTGGAATTTCCCAGGAAGAATATGCAAGTGGACTAAGAGAGCCGCCTGCCCGTGTGTCTCCGTTCCCACAAACCTCATTTGCAGGTTCACAAGGGTTTTCCTAGCTTCAGTACAGCTATTATTGCTTTATATTGCTTTAGTTCTTATTATTATCACTTGTTGCACTGATGCTTTATAATAAAACTCAAAACAATGATATTACAAAGGCCTTTTTCTCATTGGATTGGTATGTTCAGCGCAATCCCCTTAAAGTCTGGTGGTTGTAAAAATTGAGATGGTAATTGCAGACTTGTAGCTATAGATACAATTGAACTTCAGAGTGGGTGGATATGGAGTGGTCCTAATATAACATGAAATGCTTTGAAATTTTAAGAAAGGTGAAGCACCATTTACCCACATCTTCAGTACAGTACAGACACAGAATGGGGCTTGCAATGGGGACCTTCTTGTGCCAAAATGAATAATGAAAAGAAGCAGATTTCTTCCCAATAGAGGGGGAAAGTCAATTAAACATTCTTTTGAGTCTGCAGCCTGCCCTTGTTCCAAAAATGCATCTTTGTTTCTTCCAAGGGGTCCAAATGTGGATTGCACATGCATGGCATTTTGTGGGCATAGGAATTCAACTCTTGTCTTTTCACTTCATGGAAGAGTGCCTGTGCAGAAAATACTGATTTTGACAGACATGTAAAACAATTTTACTCCTCACTGTTGCCATTTCCTTGTGGCTGGTGGGTAAGAGGACATATCATGATTCAAGTCATCTGTCCACTAGGAGAATGAGCCAATATGCAAATGCTGAGGAATTAGCATTGTTTTCTTCTCTCATCATTGAGAGAATCCTTGATTCAAGGAACAGGAATGACTTTCTGTGCAAGACATAAGTAAAGGTGTGAAAGATTTCTTCTCTTGCCAAATCTTTCTCTCAGTAGAGGGTATTACACCATTGCCCCTATTCCCACCCAGCATTTCAGGTATAGAAAGCTTGAGTTGCCGGTTTTTTACCTGAGTTAGTTATATTTAAAATTTTAGCAGTCACAATATAGTGGTAAAGGATGTATAGCTAGGTAAAATGCTTGGAAAAAGCTCCCTGAGACTTGTTGGCACTATAGAACAAATAGGAACTTAGGACTGAGGATTTTTCATGAGAATCTGACTAAGTCCAATGTGATTGTCTTCTGATTCCTTCCAATGTTGATGGCAGGGAGCAACTTGTTTAACCAGCTGTGAGTGCCAAGGTTTGTAGTTCTTTGAGGAGAAGAAGAAGGATGTGTGATGGTAGCAGGATATTTTTGGGCTATAGAGCCCTTGGTTATGTGTCAAACCACATCCCACTTCAGACTCGATACATGAAGACTCGTAGGGACAACTTCATCATCACGTCTGTTGGAAATGCTTTCCATACTTATGCCGTAAGCCTGTCGTTCCTTCGTTCTCCAGTTTCATCTCGTGCAGGGGATGTGAAATAATCCAGCCTTCGTTCTCTTATTGCAGGCTTCCACATTTCGTCTCATTAATGTGAGCCCACCTCTTGTGCATGAAATCACTTGCATGGCAGTGGATGCTCAGCACATCTTCACTGCAACTGGAAATGTGGTTTATGCTTGGAGGCATGGACATGTGGTAAGCCCTCTTTCATCCCTTGAAAGCTAAAATTGAGTATACCTGACATCTTCAGATAGTTATTGATTATTGATGCAATAATGGACTTGATATTTGGAAGTACTGTGTTAGAAGAACTTTGTACCTTCCCTTAATTTAGAGAATTAAATTAGAATGTCAAAATATATTCAAGCAGAGTTCACACTAGCATTTTTAAATCTCCTGACACCCAGCTTCAGCTTGGTGGGAACATGTTCAGGTGGTTGTCAATGAGTCCTACAGACTTAGATGTTTTGCAAATAGGAGTCTCTCCAAGAAAATATGAGTCAGGGACTCACTAGAGCGAGTTAACATGAACCCTGTTCAAGTGTTTCCTAGCCTCTGTTGTCATTACTCCAGAGGGAACTTAAGTAGTTTAACACCCTTTGGGAACTTTTTTGATCTTATGCTAATGCTTTAATCCAGATTTCTTTCTGGTAGAGAAAACTTAGGATTATAGTGAAAGTAATAAGTTTTGACTTCAAGTAATGCCACTGAAAGAGAAGTTCTCTTCCCAGGACTTTGCCTGTGATCACAGGGAAACAACAATGAAGGCAACAATGAAGTTTTAAAGATACTCACATGGCAATGGCTTTATTCATTGTCTTGGTGATTGTCTAATGTTTGTCACTTGCAATTTTCATGATTGACCTTAGCATTGCATTTCCATTAGGCTACTGCTATGCATCAGAAATGTGTGCGAGACTACAGAATAGCTTTGCAGAAGAAAGGAAAGTTCAGTATTTTCTGATTACAGAGGAAATAATTGAAGAGGACATGCAGATTCCATAGGTAAAAGTCAGACTTCGATTCATAGCTTCAATTTTGACATCTTCCATCTCCAGTAGTGTAGCTTCTCACAGATGAGGACCAGGCATGCAAGGACCATGAAGGCTGAGAGATAGATGATAAGTGACACAACTTCTGAGAAAGATGCCTGATTGTAGGTGCTCGATGTTGTACATGTTTCCCCTCGGTCTGAGATCCACTTGTGCTTGATTCTTTGTAAAATCCCAGTTTCATGGAACTTCTTAATGCTAGAAGAGAGGGAAAATTGAGAAACATTCCTACTTGTTATATTTTGTTGATATGTTTTGCTCAGTCTCTTGTTCCACCATAGTTTTCGTCAATTTCAACCTTCTCCAAGCACTGGCTGGGAATCAGCACTAAGAGTACAATATATCAATATATTTACCATTGACATTTATCGTGATTTTATGTGATCACACTGCAATTAAAGAGAATAAAATGCAATGCACTATGTTCAACAGCCAGCATCCTGCTAGGCAGAAAGCCTGTTTGTATGTGAGAAAGTGGTGCTTGCTGCTATTCATTTTGCACCACCAACACAACTGTAAAGACTTCCCAAAGCTTGGAAGTCTTGGAATGATCCAAGGTGTTTGAAGATTCAACTGCTTCATGTGAATAATTATCCACCACATTCCATGTGAGCCAATGTGTGAACTTGAGCACAAGCTGGGGAAAGTTGAGGCTTATTTATTCACAGCTGCTTCTCTACACTGTCTCTGCTGTCAGCAGTTGTGTGGGTAACATGCCCACTCTGTAAATTGATGCAGCAGTGATAGGAGCCAGCGAGCCAGTTGAGTGACAAAAAGAAATAGCAGGTGCTAGCTCTTGGAGATTAGTATGAACAACAGTGCAAAATTCAGGAAAATTGCATCTCAGCACCCAGCCCAGATCGCCTTCTGTCAGTGTTGTATGATAACTTTAGTTTCAATACTAACACCACATGTGGGCACTGACCAGTGTGGAAATTCAACCATATCCCTCTTGGGTGAAACTAGATGAGATTTAAACAATCACACTTATTCGGACATCAAGCTCACTCTGAAGAGAGCATAACTGGAGACTTACTAGTAGCTGAAGATATTTGTGTAGGTTGAGTTCTTGGGCAGAGCAAGGGAGAGCTTTTCTGAAGTAACTACTCCAGGAATGGCAGACAGTTTGCATTTCTCCTTTGACACAGAAACCATTTCTGGTGCTACTAAGAAGGCATAGTAAGGATTATTGTGCATCTTTGCAATGGCATCCGCATATGTTCCATACATGTTGTCATTTTTTCTGTCAATGAACACCTTGTAGATCTCTGCCACCTCTGGTTTTTCACTCTGTAAGGAGAGAGCAGATGAGGGCAGGATGAAGTAGCTATTGTAAAAATGGAAATTGTTTCATATGGCTGAGATAAATAGCTCATCTCTTTCCCTCACTGCTTTGGCAAATTGGAAAAATTCAAGGTCAGAGGAATCCTTCATGATTCCCAGTTTCCAGGAACGTCTGTGATGGCGAATGTCTGTCCAGTGGGAAAAAGGGTGGGAGTCGACACTGACAGTGAGGAATGAGGTCAGCACTGCCGAGTAACTATTGACCAACAGGACTCCAACCACAAAGCTCATCCATAGGGTCAACCGAGCTGCTGGATGCTTGGGTTCTTTTGGGGCACCTGGCAATCAAATTCCTTCAGTTATTGTGCCACTGCCATGTTATCAAAACCAATTCAATTAATCATGAATGCAGTGTAACCAATTCACAAATTTTCATTCTATCCTATTTTGCTGTAAAATGCAGCTTGCTAGTTTCAAACAAATGCTTATGAAACTGCTGGTTCAAGCCAGTGAGTATTTCCATGCTGGGAAAACTTAACTGCACAATTCAGGAGATAGCCAATAGCAGAGTTTACCCAAGAGAATATATTGTAAGAATTAATTTTAAAAGTAACCATCTGCTCAAGCAGAATATTCAGGACAGGATGATTGCATATTCTGATCAGATTTATTTTCTTATAATTTTTTTCTTGATTCTTAATGCATACAGATGAAGGAATAGAGTTTACAGGAAAGTAGAGATCATTACTTTGGATTTGTGCTGATGTAGCTGCTGCCATCCATAATTATGGAATGCTTCACTACCGAATTCAACTAATTTCTGTAGGTCTGTACTCTTACAAACTGGGAATGTATTTACCATTTTAATTCTCTCATGGAGGAAGTATGAGCCCGAAGCTGGTCTGAGAGGATACGTATGTGGTGTGACCAGAAAGTTCCAGGACTAAAATTGTTATGAGTCTGGCAACATCACAATAATTAGTGTCATGCTATGGACTGCTATATAAGACTGTTGGGAAGTGTTGTGTAAGTCCTCATCTGACTAGCATCATGAATGAGAGATTGACTGCCAATGTAGCAACTCAGTTTGTAAACTCATCTGATGGACCTGATAATACTGCACTGTCAGCATAGGAAATTTAGGGCATTAAGTTGATTTAAGATTTAAGTTGATGTATCAGATATTAGCCAGATTTCCAAATATTCACACCTTCATCTTCAGTCATACTCTTGATATTTTATCCTTAAGTTTTTTCTATGAAATATTCTTTTTTTATGGCATTCTTCTTTTGATCAGAGAACACTGTCAATAGGCAGCAAGCATATGCTAGTCAACCATGATGATTGAAAATGTGCACATTATCTCATGCATTAAGGCTTAACTTTGTACTTAATGTTGCTGCGATAGGATTCTTGAGACAGTCAGGTGACCATCAGTGAAAATCATAACAGACTCACATCTGTCTCCATTCTACTCTCGTCACTACTGCAGAACTGAGGAAATTATGATTGATTGGTGCTGTACCTTGTGAGCAAGAGGCTCCCCAAACCAGGAGAAAATTTGTGGAAATGTTACACATTTGGAGTTCTTGATCTTCTACTTTCTTGGACTGTGAATGGATGAACCAGAGAGTCATGGAGAAGCCTAATATCCCAAAAAGAATGGCAAGCCAGAGTCCCCAAGAAAATGGGTCGAAGTATGCCTTCCACACATTCCTTTGTTGCTGCTTCATCACGTACACATGTGGTCTAAAACCAAGTGATAGATGTATCTTCAATATTTTTTATCTCTATCATTTGAGATTTAGTAATGGTGAGCAGAGTACTTGTAATCATGGATGGGCATGGGAAAGTCGACATATTGAGACCTCGTCTTGGTGATGGAGTATTCGGATACCAGGGCATCAACCTTTGCTGTCTGCAGCATCCCAAATAGTCCACTATACTTGCCTGTGGTCTCATTGAGTTTTCCTAGGGTCAGCTTTGGATGTTTTTCCTGAAGTTTCAGGTCGTCGTATCTACAAGGATTCATGGGAAGAAAACTTGATTTCCAGGATGCATAGACGACATTTACTGACTGACTCGAGGGACTTACGTGAAGTTGAGAACTTGTTTCAGGAGTTTCCAGGCCTCCCCAAGCACTCCAGTCATTTTTTTAGTCTCCTTGTCGTACATGACGAAGGGGTCGCTCTAGGGCATGTACAGTAGCTAATTATATTCTCATTCATGGAAGTAATTTATAATCTCATTCCACTTATAAATGTGGACATGTTAAATTTTTTTGTGCCAAGTTTTTCTGCAAGAATATTCCAAGTTACTCCATAAGGGTTACATTTATAATATTATACATTTAAAGTAGGATGGTTTTTTTATCAAGTGCATTTCTCATCTGTTATTGCTTGAAGAAAAGTGTTGGTGTAGGGTATTGTTACTTTTAATAGCTTTTGGCTGATTTGTATGTTTACCCTCACCTCAATTGAGCTGATCTTGAGATGGACACCAGTGAGGTCCTTGCGTCTCTCATACTTGTTCTTGTCCATCAGGAACTGAACTCCCTGTCCGTCCCAGATTCCAATCTGAAAGAAAAAGAATTAGCACTCTCCCTCATGGTGCACTTTCACTGTGCAGCCCCACATCATAATAGACTGAACTCTTTGGTAAACGAGTGGCATATTCCGGCCTTTTCTGTATGCTTCATAGAGTTCGGCTGCTTCTGTCCTGTTTTCTTGAATGTCTTGCTTCATGACATAGACATTTGAATCCAAGAAGATGGGAAGGTCTGTGAGCTGCAACATCAATTGATTCTCTGACTCTTGTGAGTCGTAGAGAACCAGCCAGACATCGTGCAGGTGGAAGGATGGCCGTTGTATCTCCTATGTTGAGGAATGACCATTTCCTTGAGTTTTACAATGTCTTTTACTTGATGATTTGCATTATGAAAGTTTGAATGACTCACATAGGGTTTAAGATCCTGGTATTTGTTGTAGAAAAGAACATAAAGACATTCTCTTGGCTCTCTAGTGGCTGCCTGGTGGAATGCATCCCACTTAGAGATGTAGCTCACCACATGGTTCTTGCTCAGTGGTTGGAGTAGCCTCTGGGTCTTGACCCAGCCTAAGACTTGACAACAAAGGCAATAATGGGATCAATCATGTTGAAATACTATCCACAAAATCTTGATGTAAATTCAAGAGGTGAAAACACTAATGAGTACTTATTATATGGATACCTTTTTCTGATAGTGTAGAGGAAATTTTGGAGCAAGTTCTTTAAATTCAGTCCTGACACTTTTAAAATTGCTCACTGCCCTCTAAAATGGTAAGTACATGGATTCTATATCTTTGCACTAATTGTATTTTTGTAGAGAGTTCATAAATATTTTAAGTTATTGTTCTCTTATGGATCACGTATCTTTCCTTCAGCTCAGTCAATGAGGAAGAAAGGACTTACCCTGTTCCTGAAGTCCATCAATGATTGTGACACAGTTTAGACCATGATAGGATAAAAGTGCAGAGACAAGCTCATCCACTTTTCTTGTTGCATCCCCTTGTGGAATTACAACTGCAAAGCTGAAAAGAATTGCTGTTATCCACTGTACCATTTTGACCTCTCTGAAGGCCAGAACTAACAAGGTTTTATACTGGCAGGGAATGGATGTTTGCTTGCCTTCAATCCTTCACAAAGGCCATGTGTTTATTAATTATGCACCCAGTGTCAGGAATCCTCTTGTCTTTCTTGTCATCATTATAAGAAATCCATCACATTGTTTCTTCCCATCTATAATTAGTGCAAGTTATTCACATGAAAGGATGTCTCCTGTCATGATGTCATGGTTTTATCTGGCAGAACAATTACATTTGTCATGCATTCCATTGTAATAGGTTGCACATGAATACAAAGGCCACTCAAGAACTGTCCATCTGCTGCTTCCTTTTGGCCTCCACCTTGTCACAATTGATGAGGACAGTGTCTTCAACCTGTGGGATATTCAGTCACAAGGTTGGGGGATTTTTTTCCTCTTTGATGCATTTAGGTTCTGTATCTGTGATGAAAATGAAGAAATGGACATTATTTCATAGATGTGGTGTTGGAGTTGGAGTTCAATAATGAGCACTTCCAGATCACTGCCATTGCTCATCCAAGCACATACATCAACAAAGTCCTGCTTGGGAGTCGGCAAGGTCGCCTGCAGCTCTGGAATATCAACAAGGGCCAGCTCATTTACACTTTCAGTGGATGGGATTCACCTGTGCTCGTTCTTGAACAGGTATTCCTTTATTTCTTCAGTATTTTCTTTCATACAATTAAGCCAGACCATATTACTTACAATTGATTTGATCAGTGCTTAACTCCTATGGAAAAAAATTAATTTTTTTTAAATTTTAGCGGTGATGAAAAAAGCTTTAATAAATAAATAGTTTTTTCAAGTATACATGCTCTTCCATAGGTGATCTTAAGACCCTCTGGCCTTGTTCCACAATGTTTAAACCTCATACTCTTGGCTTCTCTGCAACAAAAAATAATTGCTTATTATGCCTCTATGCCTCTAGTGTTTTCTTTGCTTCATGGTGGCAAACAGGACATGAGTTAGAAATGTCAGATGTATGCATCAATCTCTGATTTGATGAATCATAGTTGAATACATGTATCTCTATGAAACAGTTCATGCCATCAAGGGATCTCAGCTCAAAATTGCAAGTTGCATTTCCATTGAACTTTCCAAGCAGAATGCAAGTATAGGGTTCTGTGAGCACAGTTTGATGCTTCTTGGCCATAGAACCAGTAGAACTTGTAGTTTTGTATCTGAAAAAAAGGGGGATCATTTTAGTAAAATATTACCAGCATACAGTGATGGCAACATTTCTTTGAATGAGGTGGCCTGTATTTCCAGGCCTAGTTAATTTGTGGTATGCCTTTGCTGAGTTGATGAGTTTTTTGCATACCTTAGGCTCCTGCTGTGGATGTACTGGGAATTGGACTTGAGAGTGGAGAGATCATCATTCACAACCTCAAGTTTGATGCCACCCTGATGAAGTTCTTTCAGGACTGGGGACCCGTGACTGCACTGGCCTTTCGATCGGATGGTCAGCCGATACTCGCTTCTGCCTCTGATGCTGGACATGTTGCTTTTTGGAATCTTGAGGGTAGGTTTTTATCTTCTATAAACTCTCTGGGAGAAAATGCTCTCCATTGAATGGTTGGTTTTTATGCCTGTGCAGAGAAGAAGCTGATGAATGAGACCAGAAATGCACACTCAAAGTCAGTGGCTGGCCTAAAATTTTTGCCTGATGAACCTCTTCTGGTTTCTTCCTCTCCTGACAACACACTGAAGGTGGGTGATATGTTCATCTGCAAGTTCAGCAGATTTCATTGAAATGATCATGATTGATTGTTGCCCTTTGTTTACTATGGTTAAGTCTGACCAAACCTAATCACTTCACTCACACTATAGAATAATAACGATTTTGCATTGAATTCTGTAGCATATCATGCCATATTGATTAATGTTTTATTTACCTTCTTTGATCCTTTCCAGTTGTGGACATTTGACACACCTGATGGAAGTGCGAGGCAGCTACGTGTGGCCGAGGGTCACGAGGCCCCGCCTACGTTCATTCGCTTCTATGACCCGCAAGGAAAGAGCATACTCAGCGCCAGCCAGGATGCTACCCTCCGTCTCTTCTACACCTGGGAACGGGCTTCTGGAAAGAGTCTCGGAAAGGCATCGATCAACCGCAAGGCCTCCAAGCGCATCCGCAATCACAGGCACGATCCCAATCTGATGCCTCCTGTCGTCTGTTTTGCCGCCGAAGTCACTCGGGAAAAGGAATGGGACAACGTGGTGGCTTGCCATAACAAGCTCATCAAGGCCACCACCTGGTCGACCTACAATTATCGCATGGGCAGTCACAAGTTGATCCATGAAAGATTCAAGACTCAACCTGTTCTCAAAACAGCCTCTGCCCTTGTGAGTTCCAATTCCTCCTCCATGGAATAAAAATAATAAAAATATGAACACTTCATGCTTAGATGAGAATTGTAAGCAGGTTTTGGGTTTAGATGAAGGGTTTTAATGTCATTTTTGAGGACCTGCAGGGCATGCTATTGATGAAGTGGGTTGTAGGTTGTAGGTTCATATTATTTCCTGCTTGACTTTCCTTGGGGATGATGCTTCGTTTTCCTGTCGATTATGCATTATCCAGCTGCTGTATTTGATATGGTCTGTTTTGATGATTCTGAATTATGTATCTTCATTTCTCAAAAATAGGGAAATTAAAATTGGAGCTGTATTGAGGGATACTTTTGCAGAAGACCTGAAGTAATTCATGCCCATGCATTCATGCTGCACTGGCACTTGTGATTTCCTTCAAAAGTTGCCACAATGCCATGCATTTTCCTATGAATATGGTAATCCAAGTACAATTATGCATCATGAAGATGTAATATGCCTGTTATCTTCTTTGTGTTTCTCAATAAGAAATGCTTATTATCATTTTGGTGAATAACTTCCTAATGAATCACACATCTAAATGTCTTTTGCTGTTGATTGATAAGACTTTTTCCATGCTTCATTCTGCCTCATGTGATTATTGAGGTCATGTGCATTGTCACTTTATGTACTTCTCTTCTATGATGCTCTACATAGTTTAGTTCTCATTGTAGAGTGTGGCTTTGAGTGCATGTGGGAACTTTGCCTTCGTGGGGTATGACACCGGGCATGTGGACAAGTTCAACATACAGTCAGGCCTATGGAGAGGTTCATTTGGCGATGGAGAGGGCAAAAGAGCCCATGACGGTGCCATTCGTGGCCTTGCAGCCGATGCCGTCAATACCGTCGTCCTCTCTGGCGGAAGCGATGCAAAACTCAGGTTCTGGGACTTCCGTGCATGTAACATGAAGCATGAAATTTTGCTCAAGGCTGGGATCTCCACGATGGTGCTCCATCGAGAAAGGTCAAGAGGAATTGTTTGCCATGATTCTCCTTGCCTCTTCTTCACCCCTTTTCCTGTTGTATGAAAATCTCTGACATTTATGTTTCTCTTATTTCTCTTTAAAATTTGGAAATCTTATCCCTGTGCATCCAATGCTCTGTTTCAATTTTTTTAATTCCTTGGTTCCTGACTCCCAGCTGATGAAAATCATCCTGGAAGGTCATTGTATTGCTTTATATAGAGCTGTGCCTCTTGACTCATAAGTAGACATTCTTGATGTAACTGCTAGACCTAGTTTGTTATATTCACAGAATAGGAAAAAATCATCTTGAGAAAATGCTTTAGATGTGCAGAGCTTGTAGGATACATCATTCCAATAATTCATAACGATTTTGGCTGCACTGCACAATATGCATTCTCATCACTTGCACCTTCAACACTTGTGCATTGAAAATGACAGACAATAGCAGACTGACAGTAGTAGTGATTTTCAACCACTCTGCTGTATGCATTTCTGATCTGAAGCCATGGCAAATATTAATTGAAGATGTCATTCTCTTGATATTGCAGCAATCTGCTGGCTTGTGCCTTAGATGACTTCAGCATCCATATAGTGGATGTAGATTCTCGTCAGGTTGCACGTCGCCTACTGGGCCACACGAACAGGATCACAGACCTGACCTTTTCACCCGACGGGCGATGGGTGGTCTCGGCAGCCATGGATACCACTCTTCGCACTTGGGACATCGTCTCTGGCTTGTGAGGCTACACCTACATGCTCCTGGTTTTTTTTTTGTTGGAATGTGTTCTCATTGCCTGTCTTGATGAGTTCCTTATGATTGCAGTGGACTGGACTGCTTTTCTGTGCCTTCAGCCTGTACGTCTGTGAGCTTCTCTCCTACTGGAGAATTTCTTGCCACAACCCACATAGACTACCTGGGGGTGTTCCTGTGGGTCAATCGTACGGCTTACAATCTGATGTCCCTCCCTCCTCTTCCCAAAGACTTCCAACCCAAGGATTGCCCCCTACCAGGCTCTGCTCCTGCTCCTCAACATTCAAGTATGGGTCTTTTTCTTTTTACAACTAAGTTCTCTGTAGGTTTCCTGCTCATCCCTGCTTTATAGATTGTTTCTTCTTGTTTGTTGCTTTCTTTATAAGGTATTATTTACTGCCTGAGTTGTGACTGGCTTTTATAAGAACTTTTGTCTATTCTTTTTCATCTGCTTGTCTGGCTATAGACTGGGTCCACCAATTGTACACCCCTGCCATTTGTGCCTTTATGGGAAAAATAAATATATTTTTCTCATCAAACAGTTGAGGAAGAAGATGAATTGCCAAAAATAGAGGAATTCCAATCTCCAGAGCAAATATCAGAAGATCTGGTCACTCTCTCATCTCTCCCATCCAGCCGCTGGGCCAACCTTCTCAACTTGGACATCATCAAGGTTTCTTTCTCTCGCTTCTTCATCTCATATGAGATATCTCGGTCTGTCATTGCTCTTCTGTTTGCTTTTTAGCAAAGGAACAAGCCAAAAGAACCACCAAAAGTCCCTAAATTGGCTCCATTCTTCCTCCCAACTGTTGTCGACCTTAATCCTCGATTTGCTATCCCTGAAGCCCCAGGGAATATACCATCTTCATCTACTGTGGGAAGTCGGGTCCTCACCAGTGATGACCCTACGTCTTTGACTGAGTTTGGGAAGATACTGAAAGATTCCATTCACACCAAAGACTGTAAGTTAAAAGAATATGTCATATTCAGTGACTGAGACTTTATGTGAATACTGCTATTTATATTCAGTTTTGGACTTCATTTCATTTGGATTTCATTTTTCCATTTTTTGTGTCTTAAGGGGGGGGACCTACCCTTCGGGCGAAGATGTTGCATAGATGTCGCATAGTGTCTCCCCACCCCTCTTTCCCCTCAGGGTTCATTCCAACAGGAAGCATTTCTTTAAAAATCCATCTGCCACCATCAGGTTCCTTATCTGATTGAGGAGAATGAACTTCCCCCTTTTTTTTACATCTCCCTTCACTTTCATGTTCTGCATTCGTCTGAAATAAAAATATTTTTATTAAACTAATTTGGTGCATATCACCCTAATTCTCTTGCACCATTCTCCTACTTGAGACATGCTCCTCAATGCATAACAAATGAGATTTGAAAGATGACTTAAAATAACATGAAAAAAGCCACATCAAAGGGCAGATAACATTCTCTGAGATCGTAGTAGCAGGCTTTTCTCCCCATGTCAGATCTGTCATGGAAAGTGACAGGCCCACGATGGTCATAAACCTCGTTTCCATTTCCTAATAACCTAAAATTATCTTCTCTCCATCTTTCCTTGACATTGCATTCCTTGAGCATGATGATGCAGGCTCCTGTTCCCTAATTTATTTAATTGTAAGGAACTGAGATCACTCTATGCCAGGGAATATGGTGGGAATATGGGGGACTCCATCATTAGAGGAATTCTAATGCACTCATGGCCAAAATGCAACAGCCTCATGATCCCTTCCTTCAATTCTTCCTCTGAACGATTACTCAAACTCCGAGCTTCCCTTGACTCCGTTTCTTCCCTGAATATGACCATCCTCCTCCTCCAGACATAATCTCCACTCCAGGAAGATACTTTCTGCATCTCCACCATTTCATCGATGAGGTCTAGCAGTTTCGCCCGGGGACAGGAAAGCGAACGAGGGAATTCTCAAGGTCAAGGGGAATTCATGGGGGGAGAGAATTCTAGATTTAGGCGATAGGAATAAACTTAGAATAAACGGATCGATCACTCGTTACCCAGTACGTCTTCATGGATGACGTTTTCCAACCTCTTTGATTCTGAATGCAAGTGCTGGGAAGGGAGAACCTCCTTCATGATGAGGCGAGGGTCTGCATTCCCCCAAGAGGAATTCATATCCAGACAGTGGAGGGGAAACAATGAGAAACCAGACAGTAAAGGACAAATTCTTTCCCAATTCCTTTTCCCCCATGGAAAGAACGACTTTATTCAGGATGACCTCTCTTCTTTGACCTGTCTGTGATGATGTGAAAGCAAGTTTTCGGTATAACATGCATAAAAGAACATCCTCTAAGAAGGAGATGAATACTACCTCGAAGACGGCTCATGGGATGGAGAGGGACACCATGTGAAACTTCCTCACGAGCGTCAGAACATTTTTGTTTGGATGCGAACAGGATCTATCAATAGTCAGATATTCACCCATCTACAGAAGAGATTTTGGTGTCTCTTTCAGTACGACTAACATGAACCTATGAACCAAAAAAAAAGCATGCAATTATTCAGTTCCTGATATGAGGGTTTCTGCTTCAATTTCCACGCTGAAATATGTTTGCAGTTAGGCTTTCTCATATTTGCTCATCGAAGAGACCAGACTGGGTTGATACTCAAAGGGAACATGACTCTAATTGCTGTGATTTCTCCTAGGCATGGACTTCAGTACATTTGAAGATGATGAATGGTGGTCTCACTATAGAAACCTTTTGAAACTTTCTTGATGAAATGAGGGCCATGATTGGGCCAGAAAAACGGAGCTGTTTTCATCGTGGAAAGCTGTATGGCTCACCAACAAATGATTCCCCGATACCCATCCCATTGAATTATCTTCTCTCTATTCAAATCTGAGGTCAAGAGATAGCTTAGGTTCTCTATCAGCTCCTATTGCCACTGTGTTGCAGGCCGAGATGTGTCTTTGACACGATATCACAGGAACATTCTTGAACAAACTGTACATGATGCACTAGAGAGTTTACACTCCTGATTATATGCTGCGGAGCACACCCAGCCGTTTACATGGACAGGTCATAGAATACAGAAGTCATTTCCATGCCATGGAAGGAAAACACCTTCACTGCCTAGTTTCTTCGCGTTTCTTCTTCCCTTCCTCCCGTCTAGACGTGAATTCCTCAAGGGGAAATGCTCACCCTCTGCTCTTCACATCCATGGAGGCTCTCGCCACAACCATCCTGGGTGACTGGCTAACAGGGAACAAGACGGGGTCGGGTCTCATTTAGAACGCCTATTCCTCGATTGCTTGGGACATGTTTGCCACCTGGCTTTAGAGAATGTAACCAGACCATTATAATGGGACTCTATGGTGCAAAAGTTTTGCACAATTTGCATGAAAACACGCCCAATTTGGGAAGAGGCACTTGGCGTATTAGCTCGTTATAAAAATCTCTTTGGGTTGATTTCGTGGTTTTGCGATCGATTTTGCCGTTTTTGAGATACAGATATTAAGTACTGACTAGTACTTGATAATGAACTTGGTACCTCACTCAAAGGAAGGAGCTTCAAGTCCGTAATTCATTGATATATTGTTTATAGGGGTGAGAGGGAGTACTTCTGCAAGAGAACGCTTTTAAATTTTCAGGTTGGAAATTAAGGGTAGACCTTACCCTTAACAGCTCTATATCTAATCCACATTGTGCCCACATTCAGGCCTGTAAGATTTTAAATGGAGTTTAGATGTTGTTCAGGGAACAACAAGTATTTCCAGTAATGAAAATAAACATCTCTGATGTTATCAATCTATTTTCTCAATTTGTGATCTTCACATGGTGAAAAGCAAATATCATACAGATTGTCTGTCTCCATATGCGCTCAACATAATTTTTTTTTTCAGTTTTCTTTAAAACAACTTTATTCAACTTGGCTTATTCAAGTGCTATTGTAGGAGAAGAGTTTGAAAGTTGGAGCTGGTAGTTCAATTTTCTATTTTCCAACTTGTGAAACTAAAATTTCAAACATTCAATCTTCTTTTGAGGAAAAGTTTCTTAGCATTTCTCATGCAAAATTATTAATCATTTTTCTTACATATGTGTCCTAAAGAGAAAGTGTTTGATGTCTATTCCCAGACGAAGTGGTGCTAGCTCGCCTTCATGACCTTGGTCCATCAGCGGTAGAGTTGGAGATGCGAGCTCTTGGCCCTGATGGTGGGGGAAGCATTGAACTTGTTTTACAGATGATGAGAGCTCTGCATTGTGGTCTCAAATCTCTGAGGGACTTTGAACTCTGCCAAGCCTATCTGGGACTCTTTCTCAAGGTTTCTTTTCCATTCATACCCCACTTTCTCATGATCAATGAAGAAATTTGCATTGATGAAGTGTGTCTATTTCATTCTGGTAGATTCACAGGGAGCTCATAGCAGAGGATGAGAAACTTGCAGAGTACCTGAGCGAACTCGGAGGCAGCCAGGAGACGACTTGGGAGCAAGTCGCCGAGAAGCTCGACTCGAGCCTGTGCCTTGTCTCCTATCTGCAGAGTCTCCTCCTTTCCTGACATTCCTTGCATTTGTAAAATGAAGGAATTTAACCAATTTGCCATTTGTGTTCTTCATTCTTCACACTCATGTTGATGGCAATGAGAGCAGTAATAGAAGTGAGCTGCCATGACCACACTACATCAGTTTCTACTCAGCCACCTCCATGTGACAGCAGTTGCATGGAGGTGGCCGAGTAGGAACTGTTGACGAGGGTGATAATGCCATATCATAGGTGGCATGCAGGGTGTACCTTGAGTTTCTCTGGAATGGACTTCACTCATGAAGGAATGTGAGAGGTTGGCTTCCTCTAGAAAAATGCTAAATTGAATGAATCAATAACTTGTAGAATATTCTAAATAATAATAATAATAACTTTTTTTTTAAATACAGGTGTTGTTAATGAATCATCTCAACTGGCTGATGTTAGAACTGCCACATATCTTCCCTAAGCTTTACCTTTTCTTCATGGAACTTTGACTCTATTCAGGTCTCTGTTGGGAGTCTGGAAGTTGCTGTTCATGGAAGGTACTTCATTTATCATAGGTGACAGAATATTAGGTCTTTTTGAATTTGCCACTTTTTCCTCCAGACTCATTCAACCAATCTGGGCCAATTCAGTTGACAATGAATTGGTTTCTGCTCTCTTCTGCACCTTTTAATGTTAAGAGAGCTCTTCTGTTTCCAATTAATTCCTTCCTAGTTCATATTTTATATCCATTTCCCTGATGAACATTATTTGCATTTGGTGCAAGAGAGGTGAAACAATACAGGGTGGAGCATAATTACCTAGTAAATGTACAATACTGGAAATTATTTGTATGTAAGAGTAATAAAAATTGATATTGGTAGTTAAATCATGTTTTATTGCAGGTAAATAGGTATAATTGATACAAGGAAGAACACCAAACCAACACTTGAGTTAAAATAAATGTTCCAATCGTTTCTCTTCTGCCTCCATTACATAAATTTACTCTCTAATTATGCTCCACCCTGTATATCAGCGTATAAGTGATGTCAGTCATGAGGAAAGGTATTTAGGAAGGTTTCAAGTTGGTCTTCAGGAGGGCATTCCTGGAAAAAACATTCACACTTAACATACATACTGGACACCTACTGTCAACATGATAGTGATGTTGTAAGTGACTGTCAATATAGCACTTCAGAAATCTCCATCTAACTTCCTGGAAGTTGTATTGATAGAAATAACTCCTCAAATTCTTTTCTGTCTTGACTGAATCTGCACAACCAGGGAAGGCATACATGAATGGTATCTCTTCTATATGAGTGATAAGTTAGGTGTACATTATATTTGTAATTGAATTTTCAATTAAAACCATACTTATATTTATTTAGTTGTACTTTGCAATGAGCACATATAGAAGCCATGTAGACAGTCACATTTCTGCAATTATAGAAATTATTGCAGGAATTTTAGTACATTGCCCAAACTATAGTGTGGCTCCTCAGATGCAATTCTCTCTTGCATGCCTTTCGGCAGAATGCAGGGAAATGGCCAGTCAAATGAGGTAGTTGAGCAGACCAGTCCTTCTTATTGAACTTCTTGTCACGTGTTGCACTGGAATAGGACCGAATGATCTCGTGAATGCACCGTTAGTAAGCGCTTCAACTTGTATGCTTCCCCACAAGTTTTACACTTGAAAGGCCTCTCACCAGAATGTATTGCAGCCATGTGATACTTCAGGTTCTTTTTCCACTTGACAGTGTAGGCACACAGGTCACATTTATAGGGTTTTGCATCTGAATGGCACAGCAGATGAGATGTCAAAGAGGCTTTTAATTTAAATGTCTTTTCACAGTGAGGACACTTGAAGGGTCTGTCCTCCAAATGCCTCAACTTGACATGGTCAGAACAAATGCCCCTTGTCTTGAAAGCAGATCCACAAATTAAACATTTGAAGGGTCTGTCCTCTGAATGTCTCAGGTTGATGTGCTTAGTCAGAGTGTTTTTCTGCTTGAAAGCATGCTCACAAGCATCACATTTGAAGGGTCTGTCTTCCAAATGCCTTGAGTGGACATGGTTAGTCAGAAGGCTTCTCCTCTTGAAAGCACACCCACAAATGAGACATTTGAAAGGTCTGTCGTCTAAATGCCTCGAATTGACATGGCCCACCAGATGACATTTCTGCTTAAAAGCCGATCCACAACTGCCACACTTGAAGGGTCTGTCTTCTGAATGCCTCAAGTTGATGTGGCGAACCAGGGTGCTTCTCAGCTTGAAAGAACACTCACAGATTTCACACTTGAATGGTCTATCATTTGAATGCCTTGAACTGACATGTCCAGTCAGAGTGCCTCTCTTTCTGAATGCACATCCACAAATGTCACATTGGAAGGGTCTATCATTTTGGATAGTGGAAGGTTGCCTTTTCTGTTTTTCACTCTTTTCCCATCCACTTTCATGAATCGATCCAATGCCACAAGAGCCCTGAAGCAACTGACAGGTGTATCCACCACAAATGTCATGGTACTCAACTTTCACTTCAGTGATGCTCTGATTGGTTGTCTTTGATGCTGCTAAAATGCACTCTTGCAGAACATGTCCCCCTGATTCCTGAGGATCCTTAGTCCCTTGGGTAGAATCTTCAGAGTCACTTTTCAAGAAGTGAGTCTGCAACAGAAGATTAACAGATACATCCTTTAGATATAATGTTTCTTGAAGAGGCATGCACTAACCTTTTACCACACTTAAGTCTAAGTTTGAAATGAGATCATGTTTTAACCAAATACTACTCATTGAGATTACTAGGCAAGGGAGCATTGAGAGGTTCCTCCTTGGTTCCTGCAGGATGCAAAAACTTAACTACTTAAGGGCACAGCTTTTCATGGACAGCATTACCAGATATTATTCTATATATTTCATGTTGTATCTCTTCTACTTCTTGAAGTTATCAATAATACAAGGTGGGCTATAAATATTCACATCATATCAAAGTCTTGTACTTCCTGTATGAATAATTTCACATAGAATCAGTTGAATCTCAATGAGACACAAAGACTCACTAATTATTTGCAAAATATTTTTTATGCGTGTCTCCCCTTCTTGACTGCAACTTGCAATTTTCAAGTCTGCTGGCTGATTACACTAGAATGATACATTTCTTCTCCTCATTCATTACCAGCTTTAATCAATTCAGGTTGCTAGATTTCATATTTGGGCACTTACTTCTGGCAGACTCCACATATAGTAATCTATAGGATTGCAGTCAGAGTAGTAAGAAGGCCATTCATGTGTGCTCATAATATCTGCTAAATGGTCTGTGAGACAAGTTTTTGAGCATCAATGAACTTGGAGAAGGAGTTCTGTTTGAAAATACAGCTTTGCAAAAAGATTTTGTCCATCAGTCATTCGCATTTTGTATCCCCCTAGGGGCACTGCATCTTAGGAGCATGGCACCACAAAGGTTACATAATGCAAGGTTCATAACAGAAACTTCATATTTTCTTTCGTCTATAAGAGATGAACAGTTCCAGTCAAACACATTCTGTATATGATTCAGGAAGAAGATAAAAGGGAAGCCCTAACTGCACTTGATTTTACACAATTCCATGAGGGGAATTCAACCCCAGCAGATTTCACTGAACTGATGAAACATACTTTGAACTTGAGTTTCAAAAATATCCAGTCAATAAATTCTAACAGAGAAATGTGAACTGGTGGGAGGAGAACTGCATAATCCATTTGGTTCATGGAAGTATCCAGACAGACTGTCAAAATGGTTTGATCTAATTTCTAGAGCTGGCACTTTTAAATAAGCAACTCTGTTGATCTTATTCTCCATCTATTACAATTCTATTCATATAAAGGGGTCCTACAGAGCACAGTACATCCTACATAGCTGGAAAGTGGCCTTGGGTAATTTGAATATTACTGTTTCACTGAAAATGTTTAATTTTCAGAGGTCTCTTTTCTATTATTATGATCGAGGAAACCTTGATTCCTTTAAAAATTGTGATTTACATTGAGCAGATATAAAAATAGAGTACCTTTCCACTCATCTAATATTCATGTAATGGTTACTCAAATCAAAGAGAGAGGAATGCTTAAATCATGTATCCAACAGGGTAGAAAGTCAATGGATCAATGCAGCAGTTGAGGGAAAAATAACACATATGCACCTGTGGAATGTCCACAAAACACATCAGTTCTTCAGACACTAACTGCTGATCCTCATCATCATCAATGACCTCAGTTTTCCCATGAAACTCTTTCATGCAGTCTAGAACAGGATGAATCAAGGATCCAGAATCCAGAATCGGACTTGGTAGGATGTACTCGTCTTCTCCTGGACAGTAAGACAAGATGCATTCATCTTAAATTCATTTCATGATGAAGTCAAACTAGAGAGTGATGAACAAATTACCATTTTCCGATTCGTTGAAAGGTGAATCCAAGGCCTCCTCTTTGATGGCTTGCTCAGCAGACATACTTCAATTCCAACCTGGTGAACAAGAAATAGATCCTTTTAGAAAACAGCTCAAGACTGCATGGAGAGGATTAAAATAAATAAGGATTCAGGAACTGTTAGTGACAGATGCTCATGAGCTGAAGTGATATCAGTCTTTTCTTGGTTAGACTTCACTTTGCTTAAAAAGATACACATATACCATGGCCTCCCTTTGATGTTGAAAGATCACATGTTCTGCTCCCAATCTCAACTTCTTAAATGCTAGTGCATGAATAACTGATGTATTCCTCACAAGCAAATAATACATTTCTGATTACTATGCATAAGGATGAAACAGCAGAACAGATGGCAGCTAAAAAGAAGCAATTAAAAGCAATATAGGAAAAAGGCAAGGTTTTTACTGGGTCACTCCAAGTAAATTGCCTTTTCCTTGTGTAGAGCATCAGAAAAAAATTAAAAGAATAAGGAGATGTAATATTGGCTCCTCCAATAACCCCTCAGAAAAGCCTGTTAGTTCTTCTCTCAGAAGCCCATCCATAAATCTCCTATGGACTTCCATGGTTTTCCTGTTTTTTGCCACCAGTATATACAGGTATATATACGAGGATCATTCGATAATTATTGGCAACACTGTAATTAATCAAAAAGTATTTATTGTAGAAACCTGAAATTTTACATGCCTTCGATATAATCTCCTGCCTTGTCGCAGACGCGCTGCCACACCTCTGGGAGACGTCTGACGCCGTTAGCAGCGTCACTTTTGGTGATATCCGCGACCGCCCGCTGCAAAAACAGACTGATGCATGTAGCGTGATTCACTCTTTCACACACAGGCTGTTTCCTGCCAACTCCAATATGGAGCGTTGCACTGCTGCAGTGTTGCCAATAATTATCGAATGATCCTCGTATATGAGTAAAATCCACAACAGAACAGAAAAAAAGAAGAGTTTAAGCTAATACAGGCCTGCATGAAGCTTCTCATTATTGATATAACCTCATCCAAATGTGCCTATAGTCCAAGACCATGTAGGAAAGTCGGCCAAAATGCAATAAGGACTTTGAATTGAACATTACTAGAGGGAAACTCCAATAGGTTCATACAACTTGCAATTCGTTTTGCAAAGAGTGATGCAACTGGGATGAGCGATAGATGGAGTTTATCCTAGGTATTTTCAGCGTCATACAAAACGCGGTAGAACTCAAATGCCAAATGCGGTACAGACCAAGTAACCGACTCAGAAACTCTTTTAAAAACAGACTTTGCCCAAGGCCTTGCCTAGATCTAGGAGCATGCTCCCAACACTCACCTTGAGAATGCAAACTAGGCTTCCCTTCTTATTCCTCGCATACCAAGAGATGCATGCCGATAAGATACGAAGAAGCCTGTCCAACGATAAGCGGGATATCCCACTTATACCAGGCTAAACTCTCGAATATCTCACGTGCTCCACACGCAGTTGGGCGGAGGGCGCCATCACGGTAGAGGACTCATCGGCTGTCTTGGTACCGCCGCACCCGCGGTACTCGATGAATGCTCCCGCGGTCCACACTGCACGCTCCCGCGGTACTCGATGAATGCTCCCGTGGCCCTCACTGCACGAGGGCTCTGAGGTCAAGCGAGTACGGCGGTATCTCGCGACACGATGACGTAACGAAGTGACGTCATCGCACGATGCTCTCACGAGGTCGCCTCGCCGGAATCTCCCAGAAAAACGCCTTCCAGCGGATCGAATTGAACTTTTCTCCCGCGACGGCGGAGGCTGAACCATCGGCATTCTCCCCGCCCTTTCATTCGCACCGAGGCGACATGACGCTTCAGGCCGACCTTCCCGACGACTCCATACAGAGGAAGGACCACAAGGCTCGAGTGCGAATATTACGCGAGACATTCCAGAAATCGTCCACAACTACCGCTTCCCTTAGCAATCCCAGGCTTTAGGCTTTGAGGCACTAGAGACAGTAGAACACCCCAGGAGCACCGATTCCACATCATGACCTGCCTCGTCCGCACCACGATGACGTCACGCTGCACCACAAACCAGGGAAACCCAATGACTCCTCTGGCACGAAGCCATCTTCAAAAAGTACATCCGACGGTTATTGATTAAGATTGGGAAGGAGCCTTGGCCTATGATGCAAGCACCTTCACCTTCCCCCCCCCCCCCCCCCAAAAAAAAAAAAAAAAACTGGTTTGTCATCGTATTTGATGATTTCATGAATTCGTTCGGCCCAGAAGAACCATCAAGTCGACAGAGGAGGAAGACCTTGGATGTCGTGACGTTTTCGTTCCTTCCGTCTTATCAGGTGCCGAGCGAAGACTCTTCAAACGTCGGTTTTATTTTATTTTTTCCTCCCCCATCACTGCCACTTCGGGGATCCGAGTCAGAACGATTTTCCAAGGAAACGCGGGCGAAAGCCGAGCCGAAGTGAACGCCGTGCTCGTTTATTTCTTCGCTGAAAAAAATTCGATCGGCCGCCATGTTGATTATGGAGGCCGCCGGTGCCCAAAATCCTACAAAGCGATTAGGTGCAAAAAGTGCAGAAAAAAAAACTTCCTGGGAGCGACCGAGAAATTGCTTTTACGTGAAAAAACTCTAAAGCATGAGAAATGAAAATTGAAGGTCTTCGTTTCACCCGCGATCGAGGCGAGTTGATAAGCGAAGATAAGCGGCGGGACAATCGCAGAACGCAACAGAGTAGTAGTGCAGTGTCCCTGACAGACGCGCGTGACTGAATTTCTCCTACTGTTTGCCTTTATGCGAGCCGATGCGATCAGTGTCCTTCCGATCAGCGAATTTTGGCCCTTTCGACGACATGGACTCGTTCTGTGAGATAAGGAAGCATTCTGGCGGGAAGTCGCCTGGAAAAGGTACGTCAACGCGTTCAGCAGTTATTCGCTCGATCGTGTCGCCCGGCGAGATGACCGATGGTCGCGATTAGTTGCCGAATGTCATGGGAAACGCAGTCAACAGGGGAAAACAAACGCGAGAAATACGTTTTGCAAAAGCGAATTGGATGGAAGCAGCCTTTAACCCGAGAAAAATGAAAGCCATAATTTGGCACCCAAAAATCCCGCTCGGACAAAAGGTTCACCTAAACGCCACGTAGATGGGAAAGCCTCCCTCCAGCAGCAGAAAGAACTGATAAACGCATGGAGGAATATGATTGCAGAGGAGATAGGACCGTATGACGTTATCCCGCTTCCCACGCCGGCCACCAACACCCGAGGACATCCCAGTGTGACCTCCACTGGATGTTCGTCGAGTGTCTCTTTCATAGGCAGTGGCGTAGGGAAGGATGGGGGGGGGGGGGTTAGGGG